TATTTTATTTTGAACTGTTTTCATTAACATTTTTTAATAGTTTAGATCTTAATAAATTTAATTATTATAATTTAATTACATATCTATTTCATTTTTAATTATTATTTAAGTTGTAGAACTCAAAATTAATAATCATAATTATCATTTTAATGAGTGAACTTAAGTCTTAATAGTAAATATATGTATGTGTATATTAACATGGACTAAGAAACCATTGTCGATTTATTATAAAATCATAAGACACATATTATTATTAATAAAATCACATAAAAAAACTACAAACAATCAAAACAAATACATTCTTTTGATTATTTATAAACTTAAATTATATGATAAGAAAAAATAAAGTACATTATTTAAACTCACAAAACCAAACACCAAAAAGACAATAACGATAAATCCGGTTGATAAAGTCAACCATTCATAAATTAATTAAAATTCTTAATGGATTCAGAATAATCTTCATTTAGACTTCAAATTGTTGGAAATCCTTGAGGGTGTCCCAAACATGATCAAACTTGAATCCATTTTTAAATTTGAACTTCTCCTTCATCTTGTATTTGTTATGTATTTTTAATGATTTAAATATAATATTAGTAATGGTGTAATATTAGTAATGTTTTTGCTATTTTACTATTTGTAATTTTATTTAATTGACATAATATATGGTGAAAAAATTACTATTAAGTAATAACATAAAAATTATGTAATTTAAATTTAATAAATAATATTACTAATTATTATTTAAATTAACGATCATATGCATAAATCATAAAATTTCTTAAATGTAATTTATTTTAGTAATAGAATATAATAAAATACAAATAATAAAAGTTAATTTTACAAAAAAAAATAAATAATAGGATATGCTGAGAATATTTCTTTTAGAGGGATGTTATAAAGGGAATGTGTTGGAAATGTTTACACTGTTTAAACTGTAAAAGTAGTGGGATTTTACTATTTCAATTCCAAATATAGAGTTTAGAGAAGCTTTGGGTTAGAGATGCCCTAACCCACTCGAATTTGATTGGTTTTCATTTATTTACAACCATTACTTATGATGTATTTCTACCCCAACATAATTGCACAAACCAGTTATTTTAAGGTAAATTTCAATTCAACAAGTCTGTACTTTAATTTTTGTTTTTGTTTTTTTGATATGTTAAAGTCGTTCACCAGAAGTTTGATTCAAGTGTATTATCTTCTTTCCATTTTTCGGTTTGTTTTGATGATAAAAGAATGATTTGATTATGATTATCTCTTTTCTTTATTAATTTAGAAAATACATATATTTCTGATTATATAGGTTGTTTATCTGATTATATTTCTGCTATTCATTTGGTTTGGATGAGATGGTTTCTCTCGAAGCCTGTGTTGTAACTCAATGAAGAGATATCTCATATAATCAAATTAGTGGTGAGATCTTTTGCTTTATTGATTTTTTTATGAGGCTCCACATTGTAAGTGATGTGTAAGTCTGCATACTGTCTTCGTAAGCTTTATCTAACTGTTTGTTTGAAAAACTCCTATTAAGCTTTGTATTTTGTTGCAAGGTTGAGTTTTGACACTAGCTTTAAAGTTTTTGTGGCTTTTTGATACGTCTCTACAACAGATGCTTTCATGGTAGACTGATCTAGGATAGTTGATTTTGTAGCTCGAGGGTTGAAAGTGCATAAAAAAGGTGTTTCATGTTGGAGAAGAATTCAACCTGGGTATTAACGAACCCTTGAATTGATCTTATTATAGTAGTACAGTCTGCAGACCTTTGAGTACATAATATTATGCTAATTGAGGATGAACTTAGCAGAGAAAGGCGTTTGCTTGAATTGAGGAAAAATGCCCAGATGGAGAAAGAATCAAAAGCGATTGCAACAATCAAAATCGAAGTAGATAAGCTTCCAAAACAGGTAACATCTTCTTCTCCAAACACATTTGTCAGAGAGTTCTCGAATTCGCAGTCAATTTTAGATCTCATGTGTTTGTCCTTTTGAATTCTATAAAGGTTGCAGCATCTGAATTGAAGATTTCCGGTGAGAAAAAGTGACATATATAGTTCTTGAGCCTGCTTGAACAATTCAAACTACAAGTCATTAAACTTGATGGCATCACTGCCGATGGAGAAACAAAAATGCAAAGAAGAATGTTGTTAATTCATGATGATCAATGAATTACGTACTCAAGACCAATTATAAGAAGCATAACGAGTCAATGATATGATATCTTTATTGTACATATGACCATATTCATTCTAGAATAATAGTCATTTCACAGTGTAGGATAATATTTAGTTTGATTTGTTATGATATAGTATTTTTTTAGAGTTACATATCACTTTGTTAAGCGGAGTCACCCCAGGTGATTGAGAATAATTTTCTTTTTTAATCTTTATCATTGTTTAGTCACGATGAAATATACATGATTTATTTATTTATTTACCTTTTATTATGACATATTATATTTTTGTAGTTACATAAAATTAGAGCTGGCAAAAATACCAAAACCTGTTAGGATCTTAATGGGACCCTTACTAAATGGGTGGGTAATTCCCGCTCATATTTTAATAGGCACATATGAGTAGGTGTTTGTTCTGGACGGGTAAATATTGGATTTGGGACTGGGACCCGTTGGGATATTTTGGGCATTGATAAAATTATATTAGGTTATTTTAATAAGGCGTTCCTCACTTTTTTTCTAGATGCCGTCAATTCTTCTTCTTCCACCATAGCAGCAGCAGCTTCCGTCAACGCCGCCACCCCACCGCCACCTCTACTTCACTGTGACCTCGAATCTAATCGGCCTTCTCTTTTCACTCTCTCAAGTTTTTGCTGCGGCTATTACATATGGATTGAGTAATGTCATAAGCCACAACATCCAATCAAGACAATCAAGATGGTGCTCTTGAGATTACTGTTACTGGTGAAAAATACGCTACCTTAGGTTTGCCAAGGCCAAAAGGTGAAATCTTTTAGTCCATTCATGTTTTTTAGTTTTCTTTTGGAATGCAGGGATTGTTACCCTTCTAACCTAGATCGAAATTGTAATTACAGTTCAAGTACTTGTGTTTTGGTTGCATTTGTAATCTACCTCTTCATCTTTCATGGTGAAAAATTATGCTTTGTATCTGGATGGTTCTGCTTTATATGTCGCTCTCTTAACTTCTTGACTTCTCACAAATCTTGGAAACTTCAAAAGAGTAAAATAAATTGATTTCAATTAATTTTTTTAAAAAGGAAACGAGGAAAAATGATAAGAACAAAAAAAAATAAAATCATAAAACTAAAAGAAAAGAAATAAATGCAGAAGAATCTCATTGGAATCCCAAATAATTGCACTTTATGGGATCCCAATAAGTACTGGGCTACCCATTATCGAATCCCTACCCAATCACAACTGTGTATAAAATAAATGGGTCATCAAAATCCCAATCTCAATAATATTCTGCCCATTCAATACACGTCCTAGCCGCCCAATTGCCAGCCATATTACATATTAAGTTGTAAAGCAGGGGATCCCGGGCGAATCTAGTTTGTAGGTAATGAGTATAAATTACTCATCTTTCTATTGAACACAATTGCATATTTCCTGTGCAATGCACGGGGTAAACACTATTAATAAATTAATTTGTAAACATATATGCGTTGGAATGCAGATGGATCGTGTAAAAATATTGATGAAGGAGAAGTTCAAATTTAAAAATGGATTCAAGTTTGATCATGTTTGGGGCACCCTCAAGAATTTTGAACAATTTCAAGTCTAAATAAAAATAATTTTGAATCCATTAAGAATTTTAAATAATTTATGAATAGTTGATGTTACCGACCGAAGTTATTGTTATTATCTTTTTGGTGTTTGGTTTTGTGAGTTTAAATGATGTATTTTATTTTTTCTTATTGTATAATTTAAGTTTAAAATAATCAAAACAATGTATTTGTTTTGATTGTTTGTAGTTTCTTTTTATAGGATTTTATTAATAATATATCGTGTGAACAATCCCCTTCAAATTTGAAGGGGTAGAGAGCCTGATAGCAGAGGGGCTAGAGCGGAGCGGGCCCGCTCCGCTAAAACCAACGCATCCACCTAGTTTGGTGGACGCGTTGAATATGCTCTTACCCTCTCAAGATGGTATCAAAATAGTACGAAATTAACGTCCCATTTCAGTCCAACAACAACAACAAGCCTTTTTCCACAAGGTGTGGTCATGTGTTGCCATCGTGATATATGGATCATATGTCGCCATCTTGCTCGATCATTACCGGGTGCTTCGGCCAAAAAAATTTCCAAAAAAGATGTGGACAAAAATAATTTTTTTTCTATTTTTGGTGGACAAAACTAGTTGTTTCGGATTTGCCAAATCCGAATCTCTCCATTTTGTACTAGATTCGGATTTGGCAAATCTGAATTTACTCAATAGAATTGATTCATCACATAGTTGTAATACAACGAGATTTGAATTTGCCAAATCTGAATCTAGTACAAAATGGATAGATTCAGATTTGACAAATCCGAGACAACTAGATTTGTCCACACCACTCCGAGACATATATTTTTGTCTAGGTCCTTCCATTGAAAATTATTTGGATAAAAAACTCGATCATTACATAAGTCATCCCTCAAATTTAAATATTTCAAATCATTTTTTATAGTTTTTTTTCGCGAAAACAGAGAGATTGATTGTGGGCAAAGAATGGACTATTAATCTTGAAGTTTCCAATCCTGGCAAACACTTGGAAATCTCATGAGCGATTTCGCTGGGAGGTAAACAAGTGCGTGTTCTCGAATAATGTCTTTTAGATCCATGTAGATTTTATTGTTGGTGATGCTTAGAAAATTTCTCTCTATCCTTATCTTCTGGTGTGATCCCGACAACGGAGTGAAACTTTCAGGTATTGGTGAGAGTTTTATAGTCCCGGAATAAGTAGAATTGAGATCGCCGGTATTTATACTACCAGAGTCAAAAGTCGTAATCATCACAATTAAAGTCAAATCCTTTTGGGTTTTGGCTAATTTGCTAGTACTAAACTTTTTTCAATACTTTATTTTGTTCATTTATTTATTTTATTTTATTTTTATAAATATCGTTTATATTTTCCCCTGTCAAACGACCTCTTAAGGAATAACGGTTATGTATAGTGTCTCAACTCATGGCTCCATATGCCATGGCTGAATTCTTCCAGAAAGCTCACCCATTCACATTTCAACGCCAATCTTTCAGCCTTATTCATACACCAAAACCCTGGAGGAGAAAAACAGTTCTGAATCGAGTACTAACTAAGAAATCTATGTATTAGCCTTCAACCTGTTCGATAAATTGCTTCAGTGACTGTTGTTGCATGCTGCCTGATGCTTGATTTTGTTGTCTTATCTGCACGCATCTAACTCTGTTCCTCCAGTTTCTGCTTTCATGTCGTTCAAACTGTTTTCGATTTCCTGTATATCTTACGGAAGCCGTAGATATTTTAGGAATGTATATTCATCACAACCCAGAGTTTATCTTCCCGAATTTCTACCATCTTGGATCCAGTTGATCCCTTTTATTGGGCGTCCACGAGTGTCCATGTTGTTTCATACTTCACCATTTAGACACTGTATTTGTTCTGGCAGAAGTTTAGTTTTCGTTCATAGTTTGTCAGCACCCGTGACTCTATCGGTTGATTGTGTGGGAAAAATCAGGCAGCTGTGTACTGTGCTAAATGGTGAAGCGGGAAACGTAACAGATAACGACATCAATGGTGCTGATAAGCTGTACAAGATTGTGGTAGATTACTCAAACCCGGATCACAAAATGGAGGAAGCTCTTGATGAAGCTGATTTAGAACTGACGACCCCTATGGTTGTAGAGGTCCTTCAGAGGCTTCATTATGAGGAGAAATTAGCATTTAGGTTCTTTACATGGGCGGGGCATCGGGACCACTATAGTCATGAGCCTCAGGCGTATAATGCGATGATCGACATTTTGTCTAGCACAAAATATAAGGTGAAACAGTTTCGGATAGTTTGTGATCTGCTTGATTATATGAAGAGGAACAACAAGCGTTCGGTCCCTGTTGAAGTGCTGCTGAAAGTACTGCGGCAATATGCTGAGAAGTATTTGACACATCTACACAAATTTGCAAAGAAGAAAAAGATAAGAGTAAAGACACAGCCGGAAACTAATGCTTTTAATTTGTTTTTGGAAGCTTTGTGCAAGTGTAGTCTTGTTGAGGATGCTGAAGCTATGTTTAGGAGGGTACACAGCAAAATCAAGCCAAATGCTGACACATTTAATATCTTGTTCTTTGGATGGTGCAGGGTCAGAAATCCGGGTAGGGCAATGAGTATACTTGAAGAGATGATAGAAACTGGGCATACTCCTGACAGTTTTACATATAATACTGCCATTGATACTTTTTGTAAAGCAGGGATGATGACAGAAGCTATTGAATTTTTGGAATTCATGAAGACCAACGGTTCAACCATGTCTTCACCTACTGCAAAATCTTACTCGATTATCATTCTTGCTCTTGTCCAGAGCGATAGGATGGAGGAATGCTCTAAAGTACTTGGGGATATGATCAGTAGCGGTTGCCTTCCTGATGTCTCCACATATAAGGAAGTCATTGAAGGTATGTGCTTGGCTGGGAAAGTCGAGGCAGCCTACCAATTTTTGGAAGAAATGGGAAGTAGGGGGTACCCTCCCGATATTGTCACTTTCAACTGTTTTCTTAAAGTTTTTTGTGAGAGTAAAGATGCTGACCAAGCTATGAGGCTTTACCAAAGGATGATTGATGTGGGCTGTATTCCTAGTGTCCAAACATTCAATATGCTCATCGAAATGTATTTCCAGATGGGGCACATTGATAAAGCATTTGACACTTGGGATGAGATGTATAAAAGAGGTTGTACACGCGACGTTGATACTTACTGTGCGATGATTGAAGGTCTTTTTGATTGTAATAAAACTAAGGAAGCATGTTGTCTTTTGGAGGACGTTATGAGTAGGGGAATGAAATTACCGTACCAAAAGTTTGATGCCTTTCTGATTAAGCTTTCTGCAGCTGGTGATCTGCAAACTATCCACAGGCTGTCAGACCACATGAGGAGATTCTACAACCCTGCCATGGCACGGCGTTTTGCACTAAATCAGAAGAGGAAGAGTTTGAGCTTGAGAGGGAAATAATACATCCTAAAAGAATGTCTGATGCCATTTTTAATAGTTCTCATATGTAGTGTTGCTGAAACCATCAATCTTAGTCTTACAGATTTTGATGGTCTGGTTAGGGAGAACATCTTTAAGCTATAATGCGTGAAATTTGATTGATCCATTAGGCGTATGAAGTAGAATATTTAATGATTATTAAGATTTCAGAGTCATCATGTATCAGTTTCTTGATTTCTGGTAACTGAGCTGGTTGAATGAGAGAACATACCTGTAGCTAGCAGTTGCTATTAGGGGTGCACGGATTGGTTCAAATCGGTCAAACCGGTCAATCCGGATTGCGGTTTGGGTTTTGAATTGGTTTAAAGTTTTATTTTCAAACCGACGGTTTTAAAATCTGAAAACTGGAAGGAATGGTTTGGTTCACGATTTCATGTTCCAAATCCGTAGGTTAAACAGGACCGAACCGTTTATATTGCTTATTATATATAGTTTAGAATTTCTATATAGACATAAATGTGCATTATTAATCACAACTTGTGACATTATAGACTTGGTTAGCTCAATATCATGTTTATTAACAGCTCCCAATTTTGATTCCCTAACCTCTCTTTTTGGGTTATTTTTCAACTTTTTTTTTTTAATAAAATTTTTCTTTTGGATTCCAAAAGCTCTCCTCCTGCATTCGCCCTTCCTCTTTTTACACTATTTTTTGTTGCCTCTCAAAAACTTTTCTTGACATTTCTTTTTACTTTTTTAAAAATATTATTTTAGGCTTTCGAAAGTTGAAGCGTACTATTTAAATTCTTGTTCCTTAAACTATAAAATCAAAACTTACCTAAATTAAGTAAGAATCCTAAAAGATTCAAAGTTTCGATCTTAATTTTTTGCATGTATGGTTGTGTGTTTTTTTTTTTGCAAATTTAAAAAAATCTATTTTTTGCCCAAAAAAAAAAAATAAAAGGCTCAAGTTTTTGCCTAAAAAATAAAGATAAGTTCAAAGTGAGAGTAAAATCGTGAAATCGTAAAAACCAAACAGTTGATTACGAATTGGTTTAGTCTGATTTCAAAATGCAGAACGGTTCGGTTTTAGGTTCAAAATTTTTCAAACTGTTCTAATAATTTAGTTTACGTTTTAGGTTAAAAATCAGACCACCCGAACCGTGCACACCCCTAATTATTATAAGTTGGCTAAAATGTCAATTCGCTAAATGGTCGTTTTTGGCAATGATTTGTAAGATTCATGGCTTATATCACAAAAGAAGAAATAGCTAGCAGGCTTGCGTGGTTTCGGAATGTATTGTACATCTACCAACTAGGAGGTGTGCTGCTGTTCTTGAAGGAGTGGTCTAAACTTCAGTCACATTTTAACTTGGCAGGGACCTGTATTGAGTTAGTTAATTCTTTTCAGGAAGCAAATCAAGCTGATGGTCCCCTGAAGCTATAGGCTCGATAGAATCAGGTTAATACTTACCTTCAACTTCTACACCCTTCAGTTGTTACCAATCCATATTGCAATTCCTATGATAAAGTTGTGCGAAATTTGAAGACCAGACCACAGATGTAGATTAGTACTGCCTCTGTTCTTTAAATAGTTCCACAAAAATGGGACATGCAGCCCACTCATTAATTAGACCAATAGTTCTGTCTACATTGCTTCCGAAGTTAGAATCACCACGTATTTTGTGGCAAAAATCAGTAAAGGGTCAACAAATTCTGCAACCTGCTGCATTGGTATGCTCCCGCAATCGATTTCTATGACTGCCGCAAACAGTCTCCTCCATGTTACCATCAGTTAAGCTTTAAGAAGCCAAACAATTGAATAGCTGAATTTGAACCGACAGCGATTGAGCCACTCAAATCAACTTTTATCCTGGATGTAATAGAAAGGCTATTATTAGAACTAAGAAGTGCAGTGAACCTCTATGAAGTAACTGTGTGTTATAGACATCCTTTTAACTGCAATACAACAGGGTTGGGATATCTTCATCAAGGAGAATACCACTGGTTCATTTCCCAGTCAATTTCCAAGTGTATCCATCCATAAAATACTGTTAGAGAAATGTAACAGAAGACATAAAATCTTCCCCACTCATATGGCTGTTGATGCAAAAACTTCCAGCAACAACAACAACAACAAGAGGTGGCATGACCACCTTATTCGGTAACTCAAGATGATGTAACTTATTCAGTAATTGAAGATGATATGATCACCTTCATTTCAAAACTTAAGGGGAAAAATCCTTGTTCAAATACTTACTGCACGTATGCATCAGCATTATATATCAATGCTTTCTAGATTTACCCAAATTAGAAGTATCCTCTACAAATTCTTTGTGCGTGTCATTACCATGCATTTATTAGCAAAAATGCATACCTCAAATACAGATTTGGCTTCATCGTTGAATGCTTTACAAAGTATCTCGTAGTTTGTCTCTAATCCTGTCTGCATTGACTGAGGTAGTTATATCTATGAAGAAATTACGGACTTCAGGAAATCTGAAGGAACACTTACCCTATAAGAGAATTTTGATGGTGAAGTTGCTGATATAATGTACCTGAAGAATCCAGCTAGCAAAAGTAAATACTTGGGAATAAGCAATGTTCATATACAAACTTAAATCAGTAAACTTGAAAACCCTAGACAGAAAAAAAAAAAAAATTATGCAGGGAAGAGTAATAAAATATAGGAAATCCTTCACGAGGGAAAAAATTATGGCGAGCGACAAGACACTGGTGTAGTTAGTGACAGTTACAGATTGAATTCAGATAGCTCATAAGTTGCAATTTCTTCCTGAACATTGAAGTGGATCATTTGGTAAAGTTGTTTGAAAGGAACAAAAACATCACAAGCCTCTGAATAATTAAAATCAATAGCAAGTTCAAAGAAAGTTTTAAGTCCTCACAAAGTTAGGCATTTTGTAAAGAGAGCAGAGACTTACGCGAACATGCCAAACTCCTGAGGAAAAGGTGAAACTCCTAGGAAAAGATGATCAATCATCATCATTTGGAGCCATGCTTAGGGTAATTTTGCACATAGAACGTCAAGATTAAAACATCCACTGCTAGGTTCAAATGTCAAGCCTCAGAGTGTCTTTGTCCTAGCTGAATAACTAGTCTTCGTTTCAAAATGTATATATAATTTTGGTTGTGCTTCACTTAACAAGTATATGAGCATCATGGCTTACATTGAAGCTCTCACATTCCATTAACGGTTTAACAATGGAAGCAGGACACGCCACTTGAAGAATATAGATACATAAACATTTCAAACTTATGTTGAACATCAAGAACATCATGTAATATACAAAATGGTCACATTTGTGGTAAATATGGTCACTAGTGCTTTTTCATGTCAATTTTCTATACGAGTAGCTAATGAGAATGAAGATTTTTGCAACAAATAAAAACTTAAATTGAAGAGAATAATGATATATCCAAGATTACCCAAGTTTATTCATGTAAAATTTCATTGCTGAAGCATTTGTCTTTTGAACAGTGAGCACAACAGCACCCATTCTATTCTGAGAAACCAATATAAAGTCCAAGTTAGTGCATGTAGAGATCCTGTTCAAAGAGACACACTAGCTAAAAATTTTAATGTATATGCAACTTCCCTTGGTATAAAACTCAGTAAGATGTATACCATTTGATCAAGAAACTATAATATGACAAATGGAAGAAAATATGATTTGCTTCCTTTCAGCAAAAACTTTTCACCAAAACGTGTGTTTCTTGCCCTTATTTGAACATTATGCTCAATTTCCTTCAAGATTGAAACTAAAGCCAAAAGAACACATTACCTTACAAGCAATATCCTCAATAAGCTGCATCAGAAACTTTCCAAGCCCCTTTCCTTGAACAACAGCCTCAAGCTGTAACTCATAAACATAAAGAACTGGTACTTCTTCTTCCACAACAAACCGATAATGTACAAATCCTACAATTCCACCATTACTGCTCGAACTTTCCCCCTTCTCAGTCAAAGATATTGGCAATTCTGCCTTTCCATCTGAATATCTGTCCTCGTATACGAATATATAACGCGCTTCTGGAGAAACCATATCTTTGCGTTTCACTTTTTCTTCAACTGGCCACTGAGATCCAAAAGGCACCTCCATGTTCACCTGCAAAATACGGCATTTCAGACAATAACAAATCACCATCTCTTTTCACTCAACACAATCAATACCATTAACAAACTACACTCTGCAACGTCTACTACCTTAAGAAGCTTCTGAATGTACTGCTTCAGATGGGAAGTGAGCTTATTCCCTCTTCCAGACTCCATGTAAACAGACAACCCTGAAAACACCCCATTCCAGTATGTTTAGTGGGAGCAAGATATATTATAACTCCAATCAGTCCATTGAAAAGAAACACCAGAGAGACAAAATTGGTGCATTGGCCTATGTAACCAAGCACGAGGCTCACTATTAATAAAGGGTTCTAACAAAGTTCACTCCAAAATCCAAATACTGAGAACAAGTTGAAAAGGGAAGTTCCCAATTTCTTAAAAATAGGCGTTCTTGATTAAAAAAACTCCATGATAACACTTCAAAAGCCGAAGAAAAAATTTGACTAACCCTTTGTGTGGTAATGAGCGTGAGGATGAACAGAAGAAAGGGGATCTTTTTCAGAGGAAGCAGCTTTGATGATCTCTTCCACCGCCTTCTTCTTCGCCAGCAGCTGCTCTCATGAACCCAATCGGAAAATAAAAAAGACCCAGTTAAAAAATTGCTGTTTCTCGTTCTCTAATCGAGGGGTTTGTTTAAAATGGGCATTTGGGAAAGTTTTCTTTTACCTCTTTCCTTCTCATCTTTTTCCTTGGGTGGATGGAGCCATTGTCGACTTCTTCAGCCTCCATTGGTCTCGCCCATCTGAAACTGAACCGTGGAATGAAAAGCAGGTTATATTGTTTTTAATTTCTACAATTAGAAAGGGTTCATTTAATTTATTGAGGTTTTTTTTTCCAATTATTATCAAACTTGCATTAATTTTATAACTGAATTTAGAAGCATCTTTGTGCTAGAAAGACCATGGCATTATGCATGATCACCACTCAAAGTCATTAGATTTTGCTTTTCTGTATTAAAGTACGAATGGTACCAATTCTCATTGTCTTCTAAAACTTCTTTACCAAACTGTATTAATTCTTTGCTTTGGAAACTGGTAAAATAGAGAATAATTGGCATTATGTTATGTTCTGTGAAGATTTGCTTTGGTCTATTAGTACTTTGTTTTTGGTAGCTCATTAGTCCAAATAAGTGAACAACCAAATCAGACATAGCAGAACAAAGAGGTGTCAAATTCTGCTGCAATGTCTTTGGAAAGGGCTGAAAATGAAGTTCGTGCACTTGCAGATCATCTTTTTGGTATGGCAATGAATGGTAGCTGGAAACGTGTCCTTAGCACATTTCAAGAGGACCCTCGACTTGCTTCAAAGGCCACTTCATTCCCTTCCATGATATCAGGTGATACAACATTTCATGTCGCGGTCGCAGACTCCAATGTTGAAGTAGTCGAAAAGCTAGTGAAGATGAATCGCCTGCAGGAGGCTCTAAGAACTGGGAATAATCGAGGAAACACGCCTCTTCATCTGGCAGCCATTGTAGGTAGCGTTCGGATTTGCAGATGTTTTGTTTCTGCAGACTCGAAACTCATTACCTACCGTAACCATGATGGTGAGACACCTTTATTCATGGCCGTTCTTCATGGTAGGAAAGATGTATTCTTGTTCCTGCATCATTATATTATATCTCAAGGACAGGAAGATAGAGCCAACTATTCTTTATGCCGAAGATCTGATGGTAACACCATTCTTCATTGTGCCATAGCTGCAGAAAATTTTGGTTAGTAGTGATCAGTTTTCATCATTCTTTGATCTGTAAACTCGACAAACCATAATCTTTTTCATGGTAAACTGGAATTCATATCGTCAACAGATTTAGCTTTCCAGATAATTTTTTTGTATGGACGCCTTGCACACATGGTCAATGAACAAGGGGTATCTCCTCTCCATCTTCTAGCAAGCAAGCCTTCAGCCTTCAGGAGTGGAAGCTATCTCGGGCGATTTTCTGAAATAATTTATCGTTGTGAGTCTTCTTCTTATTTTGTTTTTCTGGGTTCCTGTATGAATCATGAGCCTTTCTCTATTAGATCTGAAGATATTACTTGGTACAAAATTGTTTGTCATGTTTCCAACCAAAGAAAAAGATCATGCTAATTTGTCTGGGTTTTGTGGTGCTCCTATCCCATATTTTGTAGGCCTTTATGCTCCTATCTTCCATCATCTTAAGCTTTTCTCCAATTTTGATGATCTTGAGCTACATTTTCCAGGCATAAATGTGGATAAGTTAGTACCTCAAACACAATATACCTACCAAGAAGGACATCAACTTTCTTGCGACCATTCTGCAAACCATCCCGGAAACCACACAACTTGCATCCACTTCTCTGGGCTACTAAAGAAAGCATTTCATTCAATTACTGGTGAGTTCATGATCTTACACAGAATAATGAAAAATGTGTTTATCCAAGATTGAATAAGTATCAGGGCCGTTTTTAAGGTGTCAGAATCCTTTCTGTCATTTTTATTTTTGGCTGCATGTGTTTGTCTAAATTGAGGAAGGATTCCAAGTTCCACTCCAGATCGACTGGTTCATTTATATTAGTTAATGCAACCACGTAATTTCTATTTGATCGTTGCAGGATTAGTTGGTGTGGCCAGTGATCATCAGCGGCAACAATTAGATACGGATTTGGAGGATCACACCCGGATACCAACCGGTGATTTATTTTTTCATTTTGTATATAAAGATGTTCTTCTTTTTTGGAGTAATGATAGTCATTAACTTACTGAATTCATAGATCAGATGGAACTAGAGATGATGCAGCACAAATGCAAACACAAAAGCAGTCATTTTGTTTCCTTTTCTCAATCAATGCTTCCTAAAAATTTCAGGGATGGAAGCTGAACAACATAACATCTATTCTGCCAGTTTTTTAACTTGCTTCAAGAAAGCATATCAATTGATTCTAAAGGCAATGCTTCACTTTGGTTCAGGCAAGCAATTTCAATCTTCTTTCATATTTGTTGAGATTCTAGCCCTTCCATTGATCTCAAATATGCATAAACTAATCGAATAAACCCTCTTGTGGCGTAGCACAGGTCAACAAGAAATAGCAAAAGTGAAGGATATCAAAGAGAAACATATGTGGTCCATCCAGGTCCTGGATATACTTCTCCAATGCGCATCTGCATATAAATACGATTCTCCATATGGTGGGCGACTCCCGCCTCCTCGTCCAAAACCTTTCAGAGTTGTTGATGTTGATGATTTTTTTCCGATTCCACTAGAAACAGAAGCGCGTTTTATGGAAGAAACTAGCTCAAGTGACAGTATATTAGACAACCCCAAAAACAATGCAAAAGGTACTACAGACATGAATCCTGTTGTTTTGATTGCTGCTTTCCTGAAATGGTGAAAACATTTAATAATATATATCTAGCAACTAACCAAATATTTTGTATACTAAGGACGTGGAAAGGGAAGAACAGCAGAGGAGATTATACTTGATAAGGGAGAAACACCTATCCTGATTGCTGCCAAAAATGGTATCGTTGAGATGGTTGAAAAAATTCTAAAAGTTTTTCCAGTGGCCAATCAAGACATGAACTCCGACGAGAAGAACCTGCTTCTATTGGCAGTGGAGAATCGGCAACTTCAGGTATACAAGTACATTTTGAACATGAAACTCACCAGGGATTTTCTCTTTCGGAAAATAGATAAGAATGGCAATAGCGCGCTACATCTTGCTGGAACACTTGGAGAAGAAGGGGCAACTTGGCTCATCCCAGCTGTGCAAATGCAATGGGAAATCAAGTGGTTTGAGGTGCACATATTCTGCCTAACATTCCTTTATATGAGTGACGGTAGTGACAGTGACTTTCCATAATGACTGATGTGTTGTCCATGCTTTGATCAATGACCATAAATATATGTGTACAATTTTGCCAATGAGTAAATTACAGCATGATCATTCTCTGCACTCCGCATTTAAATCTTTGTACTCTGCTGTAGTGTGTCAAATCCTCCATGCCTGAAGGCATCTTCGCACGCTTCAACAAACAAGGAAAGACTCCAGAGGATGTGTTCACTGAAACACATCGGATGCTCCTCAAAAGCGCTGGTGAATGGCTAACAAACACCTCCGAAGCCTGCTCTGTAGTCGGGGCACTCGTGGCGACTGTTGCCTTCTCAACATCCACGACATTTCCTGGCGGTTTCACACAGGACAATGATGACATGGGGACTCCAACTTTCAAGGGAGAGCTTGCATTTCATGTTTTCGCTATATCATCCCTAGCCGCGGTTTCCTTCTCTGTCACATCGGTGGTCATGTTTCTAGCCATTCTCTCATCCAGGTACCAAGAAAAGGACTTCGGTGCCAGACTGCCTAAGAAACTGTTACTTGGCCTAACCTCCCTTTTTCTATCCATAACTTCCATGTTGATATCTTTCTGCGCCGGCCATTTTTTCTTGCTCAGGGATAAACTGAAGGACAAGCCAGCCTTGATAGCTCTGGTTTATGCATTGGCTTGTTTCCCGCCTATTTTTGCTATAGTCCAGTTCCCAATATACTTTGACATTTTGCTGGCTACATGGAAAAGACTTCCACATCGTACTCTTACAGTGATTCCCACAATGCAAAATTGATCTACTTGTTTAATTAGAAAGGAAAAAGTGATGATGTTTATGTATGGTCTTGGTTTATTAGCCTTCTTTCATTAGTCTTAAAGGTTTGGTACATCATGGCATCAACAGGTATGAGCAAATACCTAGAAACCAAATTTATTTCATATGTCTATAGGGTTTTGCATATATAGAAATACTCTCTATTTATTAGTAGATGAAGATCCACTTCTCTGTTCTGGTTCCATTTGTCATGGAAACCCAGAATCAATCATTCTAGAGTCTAAAACTTCTGGTTCCGGAATCATGACCATATCCTATATATTATTCTTAGTTGTTATTCTGCTGCAAAAGCCTTCAAATGTCGCCATCCCATAATTCTTCAATCGATTTAATGGGCCCATTTTTTATAATGAAAATATCTCCATTAGCGACTCTAAGCTGAGGGATCTGCAGAATTTGATCATTCTCTTCTTTGCTGAGTTGCCAATCAAATATTTGGAGGTTTTGCTTCATCCTTTCTGCATTGAAACTCTTCACGATTGGGGTTACTCCTTGCTCATATATCCATCTCAGTGCCACCTAGTCAAATATTAATTTGTTGCATCAACAATTTTATTGTCTTTGTTCATATGAAGTTTATATGATATACTAACTCCGTCCCACAAAAATAGTCCACATTGAGTTTTCAAATTTGTTCTAAAAACAGTACAAAATTCTAAACTCAATGTGGACTATTTTTGTGGGACGGAGGGAGTCCGTTATTACTATGACTACGGCCACAAATTCTAGGGGAGGGGAGAAAAAGTTAGTGAAATCAAGTTTTAGCGATAACTGATTAAATGTCAACCTGAGAAATGGTCTTGCTCTTTGAAGCTGCGATATCTTTGAGAATTTCATTCTCCATGACAGCATTGGAGCCATATATAGATTTACCATAAGCTCCAAGTGGGGAATATGCACACACCTGAATTCCTTTCTCTTTGCAAAATGGCATTAATTTTCGCTGCTGCCAACCAACATTCATTTCCACCTAAAAAATTTTATAAGTAGCAAATTGTATAAAGAAAATGAGCGAAGATATCTACAAAACTAAAATCATATAAACTTTCCACTACAAATAATAATTAATTAATGTAACGTTCATCATCATTACATCCATCACCACAAAAATTATATTACACCTTTCCTGAAATTATTGTACAGTTTGAAATATCACTTTTAGTACAATTTGTATTACAATTTCTACTAAAAATGAAACACCAAACTAATAATTGTCTAGTTTCTTTCTGATTTTGCTTCAATTTAAATTATACTAAAAATGAAATATAGGTTGAACTGGACAATGTTGGGATAGACGGAGTATACGCCGACTAATAATTAATGGTAAAATTAATTATATACCTGATTAACAGCAGGTGGGATGGTGGCGTTTTCAAGGATTTTGGAGATTTTTTCACAAGAGAAATTGCTCACACCTACAGATTTGGTCAATCCAGATTTGTAGCAATCTTCCATGGCCTTCCAAGTCCCAAGCATATCGAAAGGCAGACCATCGCCTTCTTTAAGCTCGAATGCATTAGCCTCTTGCTTAACTCTCAGTGGCATGTGAATTAGGTAAAGGTCCAAATACTCTAGCCCCAGTCTCCTATTGATAGTGCATGGTACGTTAAAATTAATTATAAACAAATAAACAAATTATTAAAAAAAAAAATCTGAGAATTGGATGAGGAATATTTTGGTACTGGAGAGTTTGCTTAAGAGCTGGAAGAACAAGGTCATGATGAGTATGAGTAATCCAGAGTTTAGAAGTGATGAACAATTCATCTCTATTTTGAATCAAACCAATTTCCAATGCCTTAGCCACTGCTTTTCCTAAGGCTTCTTCTGTTCCATAGAAAGATGCTGTGTCAAAGTGCCTGTAACCAATCTCCATAGCCTTAACATAAACTGATATCAGTTCCTCCATTGGAGGTGCTTTACTGCCTCCACATCCATAACCAATCACTGGCATTTTGTGGCCTGAATTCAACACTATTTCTGGGATTTTGGCTGCCAAATTTTCCTGTTTTGCTGCCATCTCTATGTAGTCAATCGGGAAAATTTCGGTTTAAAAAATTTTGATAGTCGTATAAAATTACGATTACAAAGTTGCAAGGGATTGAGTGTTTTATGTTGTATGGGTTGAAGGTTGATGAATATATAACACACCACCCCCCCCCTAGAATTTAGGTCTTTGTAGACAAGGTGTAGACTTTGGGTTCTACTTTCTAGATCAATTTAGCAAGTAATGATGTAACTGATTACCGAATTGGAGGAACAGAAAACCTTGTGCTGGTGGTGGTTGGAACTAGGAAGAGTGTAATATAGATGAAAACTAAAGTGTAACAAAAAATAATTGTTTGTATGTAAAAGTGGATTATTTTCTTTTTATTTTTGCTTTAGGACGGAAAAAATATGTACAAGTAAAAAAAGAAAAAAAGAATTTTGGTGAAGTTGGAAAATTCTTGCATGGAGCTAGTCAACAAAGACGGAGAGAAGGGTTGATGGAGACTAGAATTGACTATACTTGCAAGCTCTTTCAAGGATTAATTTTTTGATTAAGGGCATAATAATAAAGATCATCATAATTATAAGGATTCATGCTTTGGCGGGCTCGAAAGCTGAATTGAAAGGGAGCTCGAATAGATGGAGGCTAGGATACAATTATCTTTTGATAATAAGTAGAAGTAGTTTAGAAGTATTTAAAGTATTGACAGAAAAGAATTTTAATGTCCTTCATATAATTATATAATCTTTCCCATGCTCTTAATAAAAAAATTTTCCCTTTTTTGAAAATGTAACATTGACTAGTTACCATTAATAATAAATTAAAGACCCGTTTCAAATTCCAATATATATATATATACATATATATTACGGGACGGTTCCGTTTTAAAATAATAATCGTAGGATTAATTAGGCTAATTAACAACTGTAAGATTACAATGAGGGTGCATCATAGGTAAATATATCTAAACACACCTAATTAAACATCAAAAATTAGATAACTTAGTTAATTTTGCCCAAAGCTTTAAGTGTCTAGCCAATTTGACCCAAAAAGATTTTTGTGAAGTCAAATCCATCATCTAAGTTTCAATTTCTGGCCAATTTCATCCAATTGACAAAAATTTCGTTTGATTTAACACCTTCGTTGACATTCCGTTATGGATAAAATGACGGTTGTACCCAAAATTTTAACCGCGTCGTTAATTTTACCCCATTGATTTTTGGTTAGCCAATTTTGTCCTTTACGTTTGAAATTTTTGTCAATTTCATCCAATTAGCCTAGTTTCCGTCAAACTTAAGGATTTCAATTAATTTTTAACAAAAATATATCTCAATAGTATCAAAAAAATAAAAAAATAACCCCAAAATATGTAAAATTAACAAAATAATCTCTTTCCATTACTTATTTATTTATTTTTAGTTCATTTTATTTCTCTGTACTACTTTTTATAACCATCAAAATATATTATAAGATCTTTAAAATAATAAGTATTTATTTTCAAACTCTATTTTTCATGTGCAAACATGTGAGTTTGGTTTAGAAATAATTTTGTCATATTTTTAAAATTTTTAATTAATTTTTTTTATTTTTTGTTATTTACTATTCTTTTTCTTATACTTCCTGACTTGTATCTGTTGCTACTAGTATAATTACTAAATTTCATTAATTTATTTACCTTTTATTTCATAGATTACAAAAAAAAGTTTAAAAAATAAAGAAAATGAGCAAGAAGAAATCGAGTTGAAATAAATACGAAAATTAATAGGTTATCATTCTAAAAAAAAAAAAAAAACTAAGACAAGTCTTTCTTCCTCGACTTCTTGTAATTCATAGGTAAGCTACGAAATATAAATTTTACTCGATCTAGCCTAAAATGATTATTTTGTTTGTGATAGTAAAAATAATATAATTATTAGATAATTATTTAAAATTAAAAAAAGTGCTAATTTATTTAGTCCACGACGATGAATTGTTTTAAATTTTGTTAACATAATTTTTATTCTTTTTTAGTAATTGTTATTGTTACTTTACCGATAGCTAAACTTTATAAGCAATCATTAAATTTCATGACAAAAATAAATACGTATATTTTTTAACAATATATTTTTAATATTTTTTTAAACCTTGAAATTGAAATACAAAAGGTAAATTTTTTTTCTTGAAATATAGTAATTATACTAGTGCCAACATATACAAGTGAGAGTATAAGAAGAAAATTGTTAAAAAAATAAAATAAAACAAATTGAAAATTTTTAAAAAATATAAAAAGACAAAATTACCTCTAAACCCAACTCAAGTGTGTTGAACATGAAAAATATTGTTGAAAATAAATAATTATTTTTTAAAGATCATATAGTATATTTTGATAGTTATGAAAAGTAGTAAATAGAAATAAAATGAAATAGATTAAAATGAATACAAGTGAAAAGGGGATATTTTGTTATTTTTACTTTTTTTTTAAGCAAGAAAAAGGATGAAAACGACGTTCAGGTTCCGGATAACTCAAAAAATATTTTGTGAGTTATCTTTATAATATTTTAAAACTATTGGGGTATTTTTGTTAAAAACTAACGGAGATCCGTAAAGTTTAACGGAAATTTGACCAATTGGATGAAATTGACAAAAATTTCAAACATAAAGGACAAAATTGGCTAATCAAAAAGCAATAGAGTAAAATTGACGATGGAGTCAAAACGGTGTAACCGCTATTTTTTCCTTTTCCGTTACTTTGTACAATTTTTTAGAAAGAAGAAGGGGAAAAAAAAGAAAAATAAGTAAAATATTTTGTAATTTTTGTGGAAGTGAAGAAAAGTGGCGGCGACGGAAATGCGGGTAGTGATGGAGGGAGGATTGTGTACTGTTGGTGGAGGTAAATTTTTATGTTTGTGGTGATGGTTTGAACTCACAGCTTTAGGAAGTTGTGATGGTAATTTTTAAGAGAGAAGAGGAAAGGGGCGGTGGTGGTGCGGTAGCGGAAAACAAGTAAAAGAGGAAGAAAAGGAAGAGGTTTAGGGTGAGAGCAATGAATTAGATTAGGAGATAAATTATGTGGTAGGGACGTTATAATAATTAAATAGTAAGATAAGCGTATGTTACTGAATAACAAAACATTAGGGATAAAATATTAAAATTTTGGGTCAACAAAGTTTTTTACCAATAAAAAATTGTACAAAGTAACGGAATGTCATTAGAAATATTAAATCTAACAAAATTCTCATCAATTGGATTAAATTGGCAAAAAGTTGAAATTTAGATAATGAATTTGGTTTCCCAAAATTATTTTAGGTTAAATTGGCCAGAAACTTGATGTTTTGGGCAAAAGTGATCATTTTCTCAATTAGTTTATGATATTATAGAATGTTATTCACCACATGGTTACATCTTATACCCTTAATTTTGATTAGTTATGAAAATGGCCAACGAGACTCTAGATTTTCCCCCATATATATACTAGTGATGTCTGGTCGCGCAATGTGCAACCCTGATCCAGTCTATCTGTAGATCTTAGAAATGTTTATATTTGAAAAAAAATAAAATTTTGTATTTGGAGCGATATATTTTAGAAATGTTTTATAAGTGTGATCATAGAAATATTTGTATTTCACAAAAAGACGAAATTGTATTTCGCCATGTATATTTTAGAAATATTTTATAAGTGTTACTTATTAAATATAAATAGACTTAATCAAATATATGTGTTGAAATAAATGTTTGACAAAATATAAAAGCATCCTAATAAGTTTAAATATTAGTAAGATGATTTATTGATGTTCTCCATTGGTCGTGCCAAATCAATATTTAGTTTTGGAGATTTTTAATAGCTTTGTAATAAGCTTCATCCGAAGGGTATACACTTAAAATAAAATTGACACTTTGTAACAAAAACTTAATTGATCAATTCAATTTAGACTCCATAATTAAGAAAAGAAAACCATTCTAATTGAATGAAACATAAAGAAAAAATTAAAAAAAAAACGTGTCACGTAAAGTACAAAGGGGGATTTAGTAATTTAGTTATGGTTAGACAAAAGGACAATTTAGTACTTTCTTCATGTCACGTGGCAATCATAGGAGTTGTTTGAAAGGGGGATTTTTATTTCTAATATAGTAGGATATATATATATATATATATATATATATATATATATATATATATGTTATTACTAGTTATGTCAAGCTTGCATCAATTTCTGTATGATTTGATTTGAAAAAAGTTTCTTTATTTATTTATATATTTTGCTAAAAAAATTTGACAGTCTCTCATCAGGGGTTAATCATAACTCCTTCCCTACTCAACTTCACAAAAAAGTTACCATAGTAAATTACAAGCTTTACTTAATTTTGCTTTATTGTAGTTCTGTTTATGTAACAAGTAGTTCCAGTTGTGTGTCAAAAACTCCTTCAGGAAGCTGTAGTGAACGATTCTTTGCTTAGGAAAATGTTAGTAAAGAGATACAGAAACGTGAAGGTTTTGTTGGTTTACTTTACTGTGCACAATGTATATATCTATAGTGCTTGTTTCAAAAGTAGACACGAAAGTTTAAACAATAACAGAACAGAACAGAAGAGAGGGCGATGAATTCTACTACTATTACTAACATGTCAATGGAAAGCAGTACTGAAAATGATGATCAACTTCGCCGCGATAGCGATGAGTGGTAGTTGGATTGAAGTCATTGAAACATGTAAAAGGTAGCCCTAGGATTCTTCATTTGCAATCCCGGATATCTGGTCAACATTTCGAGTTATGCAAAAATTGGACTATTAATATGAAACAGGTGTGACAAAATTTCATCAGTCTTTTGATTTATTAATCTAGCAAAAAAGTTCAATGAAACCCTCAATTCTGAATTGAGTAACTGGATTAATTTTACGGTCAACAGATTTAGCTTTCCAGATAATTCATCTGTACACATGGTTAATGAACAAGGGATTTCTCCCCTGCATCTTCTAGCCAAAATGCCCTCAGCCTTCAGGAGCGGAAGCCATTTTGGACGGTTGTCCGAAATAATTCATCGCTGTGACTCCATAACCCATATTTTGATCTTGAAGAGATCTCCAACTAATTAGCTGATGATGGATTTTGGGATACGATGATCTCCAACATTTTTCCAGGTACATATGTGGATAAGAATCGACAGCTCCAAGTATACAAGTACATTCAAAACATGAATGGATTTCCTGTTTCGATAAATTGATAAAGATGGAAATGGTGCTTTACATTTAGCTGGAACCTTACCAGGGAAACACCTGACTCATTCCGTTACTGCAAATGCAATGGGAAACCAAGTGGTTTCAGGTTCGCCTGCATTTGCTATGGTCCAGTTTCCCATCTGCTTGGACATTTTGTTGGCTACTTGGAAAACATTTCCACATCTTCGTTTCAAAGCGATTCCCACAAGGCAAAACTAATTGGAGCTCAGCTTTAGTGTTTTGTCTAGATTGAACTTTAGCCTATAACATTCAGTTTGTATCCAGAAAGAAAAGTGTTTCTTGTAATATTTCTAGGTCTCTTGCAGCGTTTCTAATCAAGAATGAACTGGGAAATGTTGATGAAAAGTAAATCTTTCTATAATTTCACCTATCTATAACTATTCTAAGTTTTAATCAGACTGGCTTTTATGATCGAGCTGTTTTCCCGATAGTCATTTATTATTACACACGGATTCGAAAAGCTGTGAATGAACCGGGCAAGTAAACACCGATTGATGATGAGTGGAAAGGACAATGTAGGATTTGTTTATCAGACGATTTGCAGTTTCATGGATCTTCGTTTTCGTATTTTATTCAGTAAATGGTTGACATTGACTTAGTGGGAATGTGTATGGGAAAAGCTTCATAGTAGATCACAATCATATGAACCCCAAAAAAGAAAACCATTGACTTCATTCCATTACCAGTTTCTCAGAATCCAGAAATTAGTACAACAAAAATGGCTGACACATTATCATTTCTGCTGGAGAAGGCTGTTTCTCTGGCCACGGACAGGATTTGTTTGATGTTTGGATTCAACAAGGATTTGGAAGCCTTTCAGGAATCTGCTCGGATGGTTCAAGCTGTCTTGGCTGATGCTCAGGGAAAGCAAATCGAAAGTGAGATGGTTCGGGTTTGGCTGGAGAAGGTTGAAAGACTGGTTTATGATGTTGACAATGTTTTCACTGAGCTAAACTATGAGATTCTTCGAAAGGCGAGGTTCGTAAGAACCGGGTTAGGAAAGGAGAAAAAGTATGAGCATCTTCGTCAGAAGGCGATATCCATGAACAAGTCCAGGTGGGGAAAGGTACGCTTACTCTGCTCATCTAAACATGGTGTTTCTTTTCATTGGAGGATGAGTTCTAAGTTCAGGGAAATTAACAAGAAGTTGGAAGAATGCCATTTGGAAGCCGTCGAGATTGGACTAATCGAAACTTCTGCTGCTTCTAATGCTGATAGTATTGGTGCTGAAGCGGCATTGATTCGAGAAATGATCAGTCCTGTTGCTCCAAATTTTGTTGTTGGGAGAGCGAAAGAAGAATCTGAAATCGTGTCGATTTTGTTAGGCTCCTCTAATCAAAATGCTGTTTCATTTCTGCCCATTGTTGGTGTAGCTGGATTAGGCAAAACCATTCTCGCAACATCAATCTATAACAACCAACAAATTGACAATCACTTCTCGAAAAAAGTTTGGATCCGCGGGTCTAAGAAATTTGAAGTGACAAAACTTTTCAGTTTGATTTTGGAGTCACTAAGGGAGGGAGAGAAGACAAAAATGTCTAGTAGGCAAGATGATATTGTTCGAGGAATTCGTAGAGAACTTCACGGGAAACGTTTTCTTTTAGTTCTTGATGGTTTCTGTAATGAGATCCCGGAGTTGTGGGATGAATTTTTTGTTTCATTGGAGGGGCTAAACACCGCCAATGGAAGCTGTTGTCTTTTGACTACTCGTCTCTTAACAACAGCGAAAATGGTGTGTACTCATGATCCTTATTTCTTAGGAAAGTTGAATGATGATGATTGTTGGTCCATTGTTTCACACAAGGCAACTAGAGGTGGAGAAATGCCTGCAGAATTGAATGTCTTCAAGAACAGAATTTTGAGTAAATGTCAAGGCCTACGTCTGGCAGCAAGTGCCATAGGAGGGTTGCTTTGCCTGCAGAAAAGAGAAGATTGGCCTTCCATCATGGAGGATAAGGTTCTCAAATTTGAAGGTATTCATGATGAAGGTGACAATGGCCTTATGAAAATACTCAAGTTGAGCTTTGAGTATTTGCCATTCTCATCTATCAAGACATGTTTCGCTTATCTTTCAGTCTTTCCTGAGGATGAACTCATAAGTGGAGAAGAGCTGATTCAACTTTGGATGGCGGAGGGTTTTATAGATCAACCAGTTGGTGAAAGGAAAACATCTTTGACGATGGAAGAAACAGGCAGAACATATCTTAAAATTTTAGTGCAGAGTTCCCTGTTGGAGGAAATAAATGGTCTTAGATACCCTGCAGGCGAGTGCTATAAAATGCATGATCTCGTTCGTGACCTAGCAAAACAAGTTTCAAAGGCGGATAGTAGAAATCCGGGGCGATATCTTACGCTAGAGTCATTTGAAGAAGGGGAGGAAATTGTCCTGAATCATTCACAATGGGCACGAACATTGTTGGTGAATTGTAGCATGAATGATGAAATGTTATTGAAGTTGAAGTACCTACATGTACTGACATTTTCTAGAGGAGAAATGAATGAGTACTTGCCTTCTATCAGCAAACTGAAGCATTTGTGCTATCTTGACCTTTCGCATTCTAAGATCAAAACGCTGCCTGAATCTTTGTGCAAGCTTTTAAGTTTGCAAACATTGAAGTTACCTGATGATATGCAAAGTCTTCCAAAAAGGATGAATAATTTGATCAGCTTGAGGCATCTTTACTATTTCCACTCTGATAAGAACTTCAAAATGCCACCAAAATTGGGACGGCTCTGCAGTCTTCAAACCCTGGAGTTCTTCAACATAGGAGAAACAAGTGAGGGATGTGGAATAGAAGAGCTCGGTTACATGAACGAACTCAGAGGTAATCTTGCAATACGCAATCTTGAGTTAGTAAAGAAAAAACGAAAAGCGCGACAGGCAAATTTGTCTGGGAAGGAAAATCTGTTAAGGTTGGAATTTCAATGGGGTAGTACGGCTCGGGAATTCATCACTTACTTTGACGAAGAATTGGATGAATGGATAAGTTGTATTTACTATCTCGACACTGCTCGTGAGAATAAGCTGTTGGAAAGCCTCAAACCTCACCCAAATTTACGAGAGCTAGTGATCAGAAATTTTATGGGTAGTAAGTTGCCTGAATGGCTAGGAAAGATGTCAGCATTGGTGACATTGGAGTTGAGTTATTGCGAGGAATGCAATAAGCTTTCAGCACTTGGAAACCTGAAATGTCTTGAAAGTCTTACATTAATCCGAATGAAGAACTTGGTCGAATGGAAGGAAACAGGAGAAAATGATGATATTTTGTTCCGGAAGCTGAATTACTTAGTTGTTCATGATTGTCCAAACCTGGTTTGGTGCCCACTTGATTTGAGACAAATTCCGTCTCTAAAAACAATGCAGTTCAGCTATTGCAGGAAATCATTTCCTGGAGGATTTAGTCACCACAAAAGTTTAAGAGACTTGTGCATTGGTCCCTTCTCAAATGATTCAGTTGAATCATTTGACTGGTCAGGATTGCTGTCATGTTCATCCACACTAAGAGATTTAAGGATAATAGGGTTTCTTCAACCTCCGCTGCTGCCGGATCAGCTCCAAAGCTTCAGTTTCTTAACTGGTTTGGAACTTGTGCGTTATGATAGTTTGGAAAGTTTACCAGAATGGTTGGGCAACCTTGTGTCTTTGGAAATACTTCGTCTTAAGTACTTTGAAAAGCTTCAGCGTTTATCCTCCCTGAATGCCATGATACGCCTGGCAAAACTAAGATCACTGGATTTCTGGTATTGTTCTCTTTTGGAACGCACATTCAACCGTGACAAGAGCCGCCCTGGCGCATACTGGTTCCGGATTTTTTCTTGTCTTCCCAATCTTGAAGTAGAATTTAACGGACTCATCAAGTAAGATTTTGATTTTCAGGTTTAAATGGCTTCTGTGTGTGTGTGTGTGTGTTCTCTTCCATTTTATTACCTGTTGTCCCATGTTTCCTTAAACTAACACATAAGTCTATGGTTTCAAACTGCGAACTGAATTGTCTGTGTGTTCTTCCATTTTTCCTTACAAAACTCAGGCAATCCAGATCGCTGTTGGATCACAAGACGAATTTACAGGGAGAAGGGCTGCGATCAAGGGTCTGAAGTCTGATATTCATTGCCCTATCATAATTCTTATGGGGCTCCGAATCAAAGGCGAATGGCCAGGGTTCCAACGGCGAAAAATGCTTTGATGTTGATCTTCTTCAGGGCTACCCAAAAACTGATCATGTAAGGCGTCAGTCCCGACAGGATCGTTATTTAGAGTTTTTTTCAGAATTAATGGATGTAATAATCTCTGTATTGCATCATATCCCAACATTTAGATAATGACTGCAATGGTAGATAAACAGATATGAAGTTTTATGTGCTCACTGAATGACGTTATTATCTGTATCATTTTTCTTGCTGGAAATTAGTTAACAATCTCCTCTTTGAAGGAGACTGACCAAAAGGGCAAGTAAAAAGACCACAACAAAATGCAAGATACGCCAAAATTCACAGAAAGAAATAAACATTCTTCTTTCATTGATCTTCAAGTTTTTTTTTGGTACATAATGTTACGAATAGTTATCCAGGATCCCGTAATCCAGGCACCAGTCAGAGTAAAGGGTATCAAGACCTAAAATCAATGAGCTTGCCCAGCTATGAGCAAATTCCCAGACACCAGATTACTTCACATGCCTAGAGGGGATTCTATAATCTCTTCTTCAGATCTTGGGACTTGGCGACAGATGAACTTAAATCAGCTGTCGAGTTTTCAGTAAGTCCCGAACCAAGAGAATTTTACTGAGGTATGCTCCCCAAACTTACTGTTATTCCTCAATGAGCAAGTGACAAAAAATGCTCATTTGATCAAGGTGACTTAAACTGCACCTATACCTACAATCTTTGGTTCAACCATTGAATGATATCTTCGACAATTTCTTGCCGTTCGGGTTCAAACAATAGGTCGTGCAAGAGCCCATCAAGAAGCCTTATGCTCTTGTCACTCGAGGCAGCCTCAATGTAAAGTTTCTGCGACGCTTCAGGATCGGTGACCGAATCTGAAGTGCCATGAAGAACAAGAAATGGCACTTTCAACTTCTTCAGATTCTGCTGTAAGTAGGTAGTTATTCGCAAGATTTCATAGCCGGTTCTTATCCTAATAGAACCAGTGAAAACAAGAGGATCGGAGTATTTGGCTATCAATGCCTCAGGATCTCTAGAAACGACAGAACCCCTTTTGTTTGCTGCACTGAACTGATATCTTGGCAATAAGAAGGCAAACACAGGGGCGAGTACCTATTGTATAAAAAACGAAGTCTCATCATCATTTATAAGAATTAACTTCCAATTTGAAATGCAAAATACAGAAGTAAAAAAGTGATCCAAAGGAAACAAAATCTTACAGCGAAAATGGGATGGGAAGGTTGAACTCCTACTGCAGGTGAAGTCAACACTACTCCTGCGATACGAGCTTCAACCTCTGGGTCCAATGCAGCCTACATTTGTTAACAAAACAAGAATGAGCTGGTTTGATATGGTGAATACTGGAAAAGACCAACGCTCACAATTAGGTTTCACAGAAAATCACCTTCAAGATTATGGCCCCACCGGTGGAATGACCGAAGCAGAAACACTGAAGACCAGGATTTTCAGTTGCAACCTTCTTGATGAATAATTTCTACGCAGAATTCAAATATCATCAGTCATTGATAGCCATCTATGAAATTTCAGGGCAAAAGTAAATTGATCAGTGTCATATAATGAAATTCAAGTCCAAGACATACCATGTCACAAACGGCATCATCAAGAGAATGAACATAAGCATGCAGTCCATCACTTCCGCCATGACCTTCAATAATCAATAGAAAAGAAATAAGACAACAGCAAAAATAACAGCCATTAATGTTATGAGCAAATGATGATGCAAGGACATGACGAAACACGAAGTCAAACGCAAACTTCAGAAGTGATATTCATCAATCTAAGACGGGAAAAAAAAACACCATTATCATATACATAATCTCCATCAACAAACTAGGCAATGTACAAAGAGAAATGCATCACAAATTAGGCAAGAAGAACACTTAAGGGAGCCTACAGGAGAGGGGGAGAGAGAGTGGGTATATAAAAACTCTACAGCCAAACAATCCAAGCATGTGTTCATATTATAAATTCAAGGTTTCAGAATTACCTACTTACAGATAATTATTGACATAGAAAATCAGCACATAGTCTAACGTCTCTTGAAACTATTGTACACCCATTAACCAAATAATTCTGCAACTACTAATTCTTTCCCTTCAGCAAAAACGTTCACTTATTAAACTTGATATCTAAACTGAGGAACCAGTTCTGTTCAAGGAATTTGATAGCCTCAGTCTGCAGTAAATCGTGTTTTTTCAATGTTTTGACTTGGTGGAAGAGAACTATATTCTATGTCCAACAAGAGGTCTAGGCAAAAGCATTGGATAGTTGTAAGTATATACCCTCAGTATACATGTTTCACAAAATGTTCTTGATAGAGGTATTTCTTTCCAACTCTTTAACGAGAAAAACTGCACTAGGCAAAGAGTAGCCTAGTCTTCTTATGCGAGAAACACAATTTTACAAATAAAACTAAATATAAAAGTAATAAATATTCACTCCCTCAAATTTCTTTAATGGGTGAGGCACATGCATGGACTCAACTCAAGTAATAAGCTTACTTATGATGGGCGTCGCATGGTACTTTATTGCACCAATGGCATCCGCATTAGAAAATATTTAGCCCCTGCAACACCCAAATGTACATGTAGAGTTGAAAACTTTAAAATGAACACCATAAAAGGGAAAAATGCATTTATGTTTCCTTCAGTGAATATTTCAGAGCGAGTACTCTTCTTTTTTTCTTTTCCCTTCTGGTAATCTTCCCATTCTCTTAAGAATTTGAGTTTTTTTAACCACATCAAATTTGAAAGGGGGTCGAATGAACTAGAACATAAAATTGAGGGTGACCTTAGAAACTGCAAGATACTACTTTCTTTGCATGGAGAACATAGGGAGTACATAAATAACCACTATTTAATGTAATTTTCTTCATTCTCACTCCCCCTCTCCCCAAAGACGGAAATATCTCAGAAACTTTGTACAGCACGACACTGATTGGCATATAATTACAACACGGTGTTTGAGCAGAACTGTTAGCCTCTTTGGTTCAATATTTTATTCCTGTTCTCTCTACACTGTTCTCTGTTATAACGACAGTCATAATTGGACATCCTACGTTCCCCTCCTACTCTGTAAGTTATTGCCTTCCATTTCACCCTAAAGTCACCAATGACAAATTGCAATTAATAACCCTTTAGAGATTCATTTTCTGCATGTCTTTTCAAATTTTGTCCCCCCAGAATTTCATGGAATTGGCATGGCTTAAGCTTAAGCTCAGAAAGGAATAGAATCTTTCCAAATGCCACTGCATAATGTTAAGTTCTCCAAATGGATTATATGTTTCAAATTTTGATAGAACACTATGGATTTAATTTGTGACAAGAACTTCTCCAAGTCCAGAGTTTGAGGTGTGTTGCCATAGCAGGAGTTACTCCAAAAAGACATGCTTGAATACATCCAATTATCAACTAGAAACATGGATCTACACTAAGAAAATACTTAATTAATGGGAAATAGTTGCCAGCAAATTTATTCAACTTTTCACTTACTTTTTCCACTCATGCTAAAAGTGCAACAAGTTCCCTCGGGATCAGAAGATGATGCATACAGAATTTAGACCCCAACAAAAAGGTTTGTTGCTTTATAGCAGATCTAAATCCCAGTCCAGGCAAAATCGTAGCAATAAACAATGACAAAAGGATGCAAGGAAATGGGGCTTAAAGATTGACTTATGCTTCTCAAAACTTAAGACAAGAAATGGAGAATGATATTCAGATAAACATATACAACTATTGTAGTTTTCTAAATTCAAGATGGAGTGGAAGAGTTTGAACAGGTATATAACAGAATACTTTCTCAAAACAATTACAAAGTCACAAGTCTATTTCAAGGATTTTAAATTAAGAGTATCTGAAGTGGAGAAGCGCTTCAACGGAAGGCGCATTAAGCTCTTCAATGTGAGCTTAGAATGGAAAACTGACAGAAATGACATGCTCATCCAAACAAGTTTGTATTCAGCAACAAAAAATATCTAAGTAATCAGCAGCTAAAAGGATCTTAAGCTTACCTATCCAATCCATTCCATAGACCTTATATCCATTTGCATTCAGTTGCTTGGCAAAATCATTGTACCTCCCACTGTAAACACGTCATATGCAGTTTAGTAATTGAGAAAGATGCTAAACAAAATAGAACTAGTTGAAACCTAGCAGATAAGTTTTAACAAACCTGTGTTCATTCAACCCGTGAAGTAGAACAACCACACCCCTGCAAAAAAGAGAATGGGCACCATCATCCTTTTGTCCCTCAATAAAAAGTTGTACATGTAATAGCGCATTGGGATAATTGAATTACAGTTGAAAAAAATTTGTAACTGAATAACATTTGTAAATTTGTTGTTAATGAACAACAGAAACACCATTTCAATTTGCACAATCTACATTATTTTAGTGATTCATAAGTTTTGCTTAGGGAAAAACTTGTCACTTTAAAGTCATTACATATCTTTGACACAAAACCAATAATTTGCTGGATTAGAACGTTATATCTTAATTGTTTTATGCTGCCATGCCGGCAAAACCTGCACTGTAACATTATGTCAATCGGATCAGCTTGAAAATCACATAACTCTGTATCTCAGCAACACAGAATTATGATGCATAACTTGGTTCTCACTACTCTACTACAGGTAAACCCGCAAACTAAAGCTGAATTGTTGATGTGTAAGGTTAAAATATTTCTATTGCCGGGTTTCTATGTATGTAGGAGAGGAACATGGAACGTTAGATCCCTTAGCAAGAATTAATTGCAATGATTATAAAGGTGCTCTGAAACATGGAAGAAGTTTTATTACAGGTTAAGCCTTCAATCCTATTTGTCACTTAAAGAAATTCAAATATTCAAACATCAAATAGATGAAATGCTACCCAGAAAAAAGTCATGATAAATAATGCAAAAAAGTTCTGCCATTTGTTAACGGGCAGAGATGATATGGGCTTCCACCATTACAGCAGAGAACAATCATGAAGGGGTAAGATGAAAAACAAAAGTGTCAATTTAACCCAGGAAAATTGGCTACTGGCATCTTGGGATGCGGTCCTGCTAAGGATTGGGTACAGCATATGATTCCATTCAGAGTAACAAAGAATATCATAATAATAACAGAGAATAATTGTCTGATGGAAAAGGACGTGGAAGGAAGATACGCTTTATCATTCTTTGGACTCTACGCTCCTGAATACGAGGTGAATTATTCCCTCAAAATTTCCAGAGTTATTAAGATACGGACAAAGAGAAGTTTATCCTCATTAATTCCATCAGTTTTCTTGTATTGTCATGGTCAAAGCCCCACAAATTTATGACAAAAAACCATTGTTAATATCAAACAGATGGAAACAATGTAACAGATCTTTTCTGCGTTTAACAAAAAAGGGACCATCTTGAAATTGAAATGACACTATAAACAGCATCAGAGTTCCACTGAGCTGAAAACCCATTATTCCAAAAAATTCTGTTCTCAAGAACAAGATGCCATACAATTTGATAATCATTAGTGAAAATCCTGAAAAAACCAAACAAAACAATTCCTCGGTTGCACATTAAGATGCAATGCAAACAACTTAAAGACTACTAAATCTGGTGCAAAATGAATAAAATGAAGGGAAGAAGACGAAAAATGACCCAGCAAAATCCATTCTTGGCGTTCAAAAACTAAAATCATCAACTGAGAAACAGAAGAAGAATTGATTATCAGAAAATTACATACCTAACTTTAACAGTAGCCGGAGTCCATGACTGGGTGAACAGGGTGACACCTCTTTGAGTATCGAAAAGCATATATTCTCTAACAGAGTTTTTATCTTCATCTTCGAGAACCCTTTTTATAGCTAAGGCCCTCCTCGCCGCCACCTCTTTGTCCACTACCGCAGCCGCCGCCGCCGCACTCTTTCTGGCCGGCACCATAGACGCCGGAACTCTCACCACCGCCACCCCTTTCTTCTCCACGGATTTCTCGTCCTTCCCATTTGCACTCCCGCCGGCACCACCGCCCTGATTTCCGGCCCCCGAAACCGACGCCTGAGAAGCCACCCTCCTCCGCCGGAACGGCAAAAACAATAACAGAACGAACGCATTCATCACCATGAATAAACTCCTCCATAACCTCAAAGACAACAACGCGTTGATTCTCCCGCTAGCTCCTGACGTCAACATAATCGCCTCTTTCTCCCGAGATGACATCACAACCGTCGCCATTAACCTCGTTCTCCCCGAATTCAACACCAATGGCTTCAATCCAACTCTAAAACTCTGTTTATTGAAATGCCCTCGTGGGATAATCCGTTTCTCAGCTCCAAAACGCTGTGAGATTTCAATATGTTGTGGTACGGACAAGTAATCTATAGACAAACAGATCATAAAAAAAATAGGATAAAGTTTCAAACTTTAAAACAAAATTAATCTCTTAAACCAATGATGCTCTGTTTTTTTTAATCTTCTGCTTTATCCCCTATCCTGTCCGGTACGAATTTTTTCAACAGAAATGGCAGAAAATGATTAAAAGGGTTTTTTCCAGGAATTCCTTTTTTCTGCAAAGAGGAAAAATGGGACAACTTTTGGGTTTTTCTTTTTGAGTTTCCAAATTTTGCACGGCTGAAAGAAGAAGAATCGAGAAATTTTCTCAGAGAGTTTTCCGGAATGAAAGAGGAAAAAGAAAAAATGAGGGGATGAAAGAGAGGTGGAGAATATAAATAAAAAGAAATGGAAGGAATTGCGGGAAAGGAACAGTGATTCGGATTCTACGATGAATGCAGGTGACACGTGTAAAGTTGTCTGTATTTATGCGGCAATTCGAGCCATTTTTTTTTTTTATTCGTTTGAAAACGTCAAAATTAAAGGAGAAGTTACCTTTAGATTTCAAAACATAGTTCAACATGCTGCTGCTGATGATGATGATGATATACTACAACAAACGTGTTAATCGAATAGTTCTGCATGTGATTTTAAATCAAAGTAAAAAATGTGATTTAAAAAAATTTAAAACAGAAAATGGTTGGTTGAGTCGGTTGACAGATGTTGAGCTATGGATACAGGGTTTTTTGGTTGGGTCGGCTAACTTCCATCAATTTTATGGTTTTGATTGGCTCGTTTTCCCATTAATTTGTGGATTGGATCGGATCTAGATGGTTCTCTTATCTTTGACGTAAAATCACCCCATAATATGATGAACGGGTTTGCGTAACTATTTTTGTTACATTGACCTTACTCTTCTTATCTTCTTTCCGAAGAGGGAAAAAAAACACCGCTATAACTCGCTCTGGGATGTTTTGGTATATGGAGAAGAAATGACGGTCGGAAAAGAGACTCTACGAATGCGCCTCTAATTTAAATATTCGATGTTTTAATTAATCTATAGTTATCGCAAAATTAGGATGAACTCTCGCCTTCATAAAAATATCCAAGGTAGCATTAAAGAATTGTTGCTTAAAGATTGTATCGAGAAACATTATGTTTTATCGAGTGTTGATCTTTCTTCATTTTTTTTTTCTTCGAATTCTGTTTAGATAGCGAGTTTGGTTAGTATATGTGTTTGCACTTGTTGTGGTTAGAACGGTACTTTATTGAGAATCCGCACATCCACAATGATCATACGGTGTGTACTCGTGACTTTACACACCAAAGAATTCCTTATACTTTTTGAGTTTTGATACTAACATTGATCAGTTACATTCATCGTCAGTTTATGTCATTGATATTAAGTAATCCTCCGACTGATAATGCCAAATGTTAGAATTCCAAAGTAAATTCTCAATGACCATTTGAATTGTATTTTTTTCCCATAATGACTAACTTGACAGTACTATTAATAAGTGATGTATTATGGAGTCAAATTTTCTATGTATATAAGTACCTGAATATTGTTTTGTTCTGACCAGTTGGCTTAACTGGGTTGAAATTCAAAATATGCAAATTAATGATCTACATTATACAGACGACAAATTTGAATCCAATGTGTCTTATGTGACTAGAAAATTAAAACTCGGTCGTGAATTTGAATACTCCTCCTATAGTCTCAACTTGAACAAATATAATGAGCTTATCCATAAATGTATCCTTTGGCAAATTTCACGCACACCAAATTATGATTACTCCTTAATTTCCATCTCAATTATAAATTCTAAAACAATAAAAATAAATTTCAATTTATCACTACCAAATAAATTATTTATCAGTATAAAAAGCGACATGCGTCTCGATCATTTGATGGAGCCGATAGACTCTTGATTGCTTGCTTTGGATACTGCTCCAACATGATTGAGGTAGCATAAAAGTTGGAATCATAGAAGGCAATGTCTCTACCACCAGCGGAGGAGAATATGTGATTTTTATTCTTTTAATGGGACTCGATCAATCCGTCCCCTAATAATATTTAATTTAATATAATATCCTTTCTACTTTTTTTTACTCCTTCCCTCCGGTCCTTAATGTAAGATATTTTGATTTGTCTTAAATTTCAGTTAATATATATGTATTTTTTATCGAAGAAATAACCTTAAAAATATACTTTAACATTTGTTATATTCTCTTAATTATTAAGAAATATTTTTAAGATTTTTTTGTCGATTAAAACTGTGTACTAGGTGAAATCCAGGACAAATCAAAATGACTTATATTAAGGACCAGAAGAGTGAAAGTCATTTTGATTTCTTTTTTAATTTCATTTATTTTATTTTTTTGATTGAAACTAAAATCTTAAAATTACATTTTTATATTTATTATATTGTCTTAATTATTATAAAATATTTTTAAGATTTCATTTTCAATTAGAAAAATACTATAAATAAAATTTAAGAGAAATAAAAAAGCAACCACAAGGAGTACAGTTAGGGAGAAAAAAAAGAAAAGAAAAGGGAGTGTTGGAATCAGAAGGATCGAACCAAATACAAAAACATCAACCTGTATCCACTTTCGGCAATTTTTTTTTTTTTTTTTCATTGTAAATGGCACCGCAACATAACAATTATTTTAACTTTAAGGATGTCACATTGGCTAACAAATATTGCTTATTTCGCGATCATCGTTGCTTTAGAAACCCATCCACTCAAATTTTACCTTTTCCTCAATCGAATATATTGTTTTTTACAAAAAGAACTTCTTCCATGTTGCTGTCCTAATTATATACTCTAGTTATACTATTATTCCCTACAACAATCCTTCATATTTTTTTTATTGAAAGGGGTCAATCAATCAAGTACGTCTTCCACTAGGTGAGGTACATATAATTTTGTTCAAAATTACTTTTATAAAAGTATTCTTTTTGAAGAGAAAACAATAATTATTGCCAAAAAATGAGAGGTTCTAACTGGTTGTCAAAGATTTAAATAACATTTTCCCATTCATCATTGTTAATATATGTTATTACTCTACATAAACATAATATATATTTAGGTCAAGATCGCGCACTATACCGCCAGAAACTAACTGATGTAATGTAGTAAAGAATTATTTAAATAGTTCCTCACTTTGGGTCAAGATCGCGCTCTTAATCAATAATGCATATTAATGTTCATATTATTGAGGTGGAAAGAGTCACTCTTTGATTTCTCATATTGGAGTTGGACCAAGTTTTAATTGTGTGAATGTGAAGTTCTTTATTGTACCTTTTTTTTTTTAAAAAAAAAAAAAAAAATCTCATCCCAGTAGACTACACTTAAATGTGGGTAAAACCCTTTTACAATCGCTGGTGAAAATCGAACCATGATCTATCACCAAAAAAGACAACAACCTATAGAGTGTCACTCAATTCCCATTCTTTACTCTGCTATTATCATTGCCACACGAACTGACTAATTTCATTACAATTCAACAAATATGCATTGGTTTGTTTTTATGGGGGTTTTATTTTAGAAATTAGAACTAGAATATAATAATGCGTTAAACCAACAAATTTTAAAGCAACTCAAAATAGCTAGCTATGTGGCCTCCACATGGTTTGTTTATCCTTCTAAGAACATAAATAAATCATAGAGACAGATCATAAAACCATCATTGAATGGATTAGTGAATAATACAAGTCATTCCATTACAGCTTCTATTCATCATTGACTGGATGATTCAGTTGCCGAAAATTAAAAGAATTTTCCGAAGTTCATAAAAAAAAAAAAAAAATTGGGCCTGAAGATTTCTCAAATAGAGGAGTGTAGCTGCTTAGATACGGTCCATTTGTGCAAAACTTCTCCAAAAACATCATAGAATACGGTCTCTGCATCAGTTTGGGTTAGCCTCACAGACATGAAACCTTGTCCATCATAGAAAAATTTCAGGCCTTCACTGTTTAGTTCCTTCACATCACCTCTCCAAGCCTTGGATCCAGCTCCACTGGTTAGGAATTGTAATGGGCTGCAACCAAAAAAGCCCAAATAATTAGTAGGGCTCCGATACATCTTTTCCATCTTCTCTATTTTCATTGCTCACAATAATACTCCCTCCGTCCCATAATTATTGTCCAGTTTGAATTTTAGTTTTAGTTCAAATTGTACTAAAAGTGAAATCTCAAACTGGATAATAATTTTGAGACAGAGGGAGTAATTATTTCGTGACATAAAAAGTATAACTCTCAAGAGGAAGAAAACCAGTTTGGTTGTACCTTTTGTCATCACTGATTTGTTCCAGGCAGTGGTCATGTCCATTCATATAAAAGTCAACACTATAGGCCTGATAATCATAAGGTAATACAAATATATAGAGTTAGTTGTGATATTCAACAATGTGCCATTGAAATTTCACATTGAAATTGTTGGTTTTTTTGTTTTTTTTTTAGGGCATTACCTGGAGAAGTGGAAGAAGCTTTTCTACAAGTTCTTGGGTATCACCATGATGACCAACACTCCTAACAGCATGATGTCCCACAACAATCTTCCACTTTGCTGTTGAACTTTTCAGTGCGGACTCGAGATCCTGCCAAACATCAGCCGTTTCTTTATGAATAATGACAACATAAAAAAGAAGCGTAACAAAGATGGGATATCAAATTTTTCGAAACGTATATATCTATTTTAGAGTGTCACGTTTATAATTAATTATTACATAAACTTACCTCCAATACGATTGAAGTGTAAGTGGCCACAGGATTGACACCCGTCCAATCATACCCGTGCTCCGGCTCATCGAAGTAATTCCTCACAAAAGGAGTGGTGTCCACAAAGAACAAATCAGCAATTTCTGCAAAATATTATTAGCGCATCAATACATCAACTTAATCTGCTACAATTCGATTGCAAAATAAGAGTCGTGTTTGTCGGGAACGGAGGGAGTACATCCTACAAGTGTCTACATATATTACCTGCATTTACCACGAATGACCTCAAACAAAGCCATCTGCTATCAATTTTCCGGAGTAAAGGGCTCAATTGTGCTTCTACATCACCCCTGTAATCATGATTCCCTAAAACTGCATATATGAAATTTAACGCAATGAAATGGTTAATGTAAAGAAGGTTGGTTGGATGAATGTGAAATTGATGAATGAATTGTTATATACAACTTACCACTATACCATTGCTTTTGGAGGCTTTTTGCTGTGTAAATATTGACGAAAGAATTAACAAATGCAGGATCATGCTCCCCTGTTAATCCACTATCATAAAAATTGTCCCCTGTTGAAACTACAAAATCTATATCTAAATTCTCTCCAACAATTCCCATCTGCAACCAAAGCAAAAAGGGAAGTCAAATCTCGAACCAGGAATGTAAGAACAAGGCCAAAAAAATCTAATCTTGAATGGAAATGGCAACATTTGGGCAACTTTTGAAAAACTTTTTCAGGTGCAATTGCAGAAATTTCTCCAATAGATTGCTTGAAAAATGCAGAAACAAGAAAAGGGTCCATTTCGAAATCAACCAAAAAAAAAATAATAATAATAAAAAAATTTGTTTCACCTGAATGGCAATTTCAGATTGATTGAAAAATGCAGAAACAAGATGAAACATGAAAAGGGTCGATTTTGAAATCAACAAAAAAAAACAAAAATTTTTGTTTACCTGAATGGCAACTTCGGATTGGTTATATTCACCACTTCTTCCCCAATCTCCAAGAACAAGGAAGCTAAGAGTTCCATCACCTTTTGTGGGATGCTCAAACGTTTGAAGCTGTCCTAAAACAGAAACTATACAAAGGCTAAAGCTAAAGGCTAACAACCTAAGCGACAACAGAACCATGGGTTTGTTGTGATTTAAAGTATCCATGGCTCTGTGTTTGGATGAAAAAAGAAAAATAGAAAGAAAAGGGGAAAAAAAAAAAAAGAAATTCCGAAGAGGAATTTTTGTTGGCTTTTTCAGGCCTGTGTTTTGGTTGTGAATTCTCAATGCTTCATCCTCAGGTTATATAGACAGTGTACTTTTATGGTTAAATGGGTTGGCGACAAAAACGCAATGACACAAAAAAGTTTGCAAAGGAGAGATTAATTCGTAAAAACAATGTCACAAGTTTTTGTAGTTTATATAGTAAAAATTTTAATTGAATTGAGTATTGAGGATAAAGATAATCAATCTGGAAGGGAATATGCTCTCAAGAAAATTAATTATGCTGACTAAGTGGCAAATGACAAGTGATGTATGTATATGTACAGATCAGATATGCACATGTTGGAAGATTAGTGCACAAACAAATTAAGAGCTCCAATAAATTTAAGCATGAAAAATATATGGTAACGAATAGAGGCTAATTAACCATTTTTCGAATTTGGACAGAACGTTTTTTTATACTGGACAATAATTTTGGAACGGAAGGAATAGAATATTTCATTTTGTTTAATTACATTTAGTTTAGAAGATGGATACCTTAATTTTTGATTATTTTACGATAATGCATAATCAACAAGATAATTCACAACCATTTAGGAAATATGTGTAATTGTGCTGTGAGGGGTAAATATGGTGGGATCAAGGGGGAATATGCTATCGGATCTGGATCCAAGTATGCACGGGAATTTAGAGAATCAGAATATTCTAAAGAATGTTTGGAGTCAAAATAAAAAAAAAAAAATAAAATCACAAAATAAAGTTTTTCCAATTGGAGGTCCTTTACTATTAATAGATGCTGCAAATCTAATCTGGGGAGGATAAAAAAATTGTTTTGCTCGAAGCTGAAAAGTGGAAAAACCCACAGATTCAATTAATTTAAATGATGTGTGTTTGCACTCAGGAGGCTGTATTTATTTATTTATTATTATTATTATTATTATTTTCATTTAAAATATGTGAAGGTAAAATGATGTTTGCATCTCATCGTTGAAGATGGCGTCAGTACATTTATCTCAACATCTGAAAATGTAAAATTAGCATACTTGCATAATGCGCCATAACCGAATTAGCATTAATGGAGAATTATACTGCCTGCATAATGCATACTTGCATAGCACAGGCATACAGCATTTTAAACTGGTGGACCTAATTTTTTGCCTGAAAAACAGACCTACCATTTTTATTGTTCACGGACGTTCTTCGGAAAAAATAAATACTGTAAATAAACAAAGAAGTTGAAAAAAATGTACTCCCTCCGTCCCATAATTATTGTGTAATTTGGATTTTTATTTTTAATTCAAATTGTACTAAAAGTAAAATTTCAAACTGAACAATAATTTTGAGACGGAAGGAGTAGTAAAATGCAACCGCGTTTTAAGGAATAGTAGGTTAGAATCACAAGGGCAATTACTTGGTGAAGAATTTCGATTTCATTATTTCTTTGCTCGCGAAATTTTTTTGATGAAATCGAATGGTTTAGATGCGAAATGAAACTATTGGACTGAGATTTGAGAGGAAGGATAGGAAGAGATAATCGCCAAGCATAATAAACCTTTGTAAATACTCCTAATCTCCAACTGATGAGACTCATGATAGATAACGAATACTCTCTCTGTTCCATAATTATTGTCTAGTTTGTGTTTTTATTTATAATACAAATTATGTTAAAAATGAAATCTCCCAGTTTGTGTTTTCATTTATAATACAAATTATACTAAAAATAAAATCTCAAACTGGACAATAATTTTAGGACAGAAACAATACTAAAGATTCCGAAAGAACTAGAAAGGAAACTCACAATCCAGAGATATAATGCATGATTTCACAATTAGTTCAGACCGAATGTTAGACTAATGGGAAAACATCCCAATTTGACCTGTCAGTAAATACTGCAATCAATAAGTTGTAAATTTCCTTTTATATACAAGAGTACCTATCTTCTGCTCCAAATCATAGAGCATTTTTTTTTTTTTGCATAAAATGGTGCAGAGTAATCACTCAAGTCTAGTTCCTACTTCGGTATTTGGACCACAGCATTAGTTTGCGACGAAATGGTATCTCGAGTCCACATAGCTCTCCACATCCCAGAGGAAGGAACCAAAAGTCACTGCTTCCAGAACAAGTCTCTTCAGCCCACCAAAACTAATTTTAATGAGTTCATCCTTGGAGGAATCAATGGTTCCCTGGGGTGTGATAACAATCTCAGGTCGGCCGAATAATGCTTCAGTGTGCTTTTCAATTATGCTAACAGCCTCCTTAGACCTGATGGTTGCATATCTCTGAAGTGTCTCCCCATCGAACGACATCACATAAGATCTTAACCGTGACGGCTTCATCCCATACCCAAAACCTCCTGGGCTGACACCATCACCACCAGCCCATGATGACACCTCAGGGTGAGTTGGTGCACTATCGCCACTCTCATTGACAGGTCCATCTTTCTGTCCCCTGCTGTTCTGCATGCTTGAAACTTTGTCATCTGATCCCTCTGGAAGGATTCTCATTGTCTTTTCCAGCTGAAACCTCTGGTCGACGCGCTTTAGAAAATACCCATACATAACTGAAGCTGCATAAAGTTGGCCAACCCTAAGTTTACTAATTTGAGCTACTGCAGACGGATCAGCAGTTCTGTTTCCCAGAACGAGGGCTAGGTGGTTTTGGATCATCTCATAGGCTTCAGGAGAATGAAGCTTTTCAAGTAGTTTATCATCATGGCTGGGCCATTTATCGACTTGCCCTGAAGAGTCTGATGATGGTGCTATAGAAGGAACCAAGGAGACACTGGCATCCATAAACTTCTGTACAATCAAAGCATATAGAATCTCTTCTAATGCCTTTCTCCTGTCATTGGCCTTGACTTCTGCAATTCTCCTAATATTTACAAAACCAAAGAAAGATCAGTCATTAAACACGAAAAAGAATGAAGTCAAAGAAACATAAAACCCAAAGTTAATATAAAGTGTTTTTCCCCAAGTTTGTTCCCAGATTATGCATCATTTCTCAGCTTATCTAAGCCAAGAAATTATAAGCTGCCATATCAAACCGGTAACAAGGAATAAATAATCAACTAACCTGTACAACACAAGATCGGTGCCATCAGAAGCAGGTGCTTCTTCTTTATTGTTCTCGGCATCCCTATCAGTTTGAAGCTGTTCGAGCTGCTGTTCCACGGCTGCAGGGACAAGATGTGGGTGGCTAACCAATATTTCAGAAAGAAACTGTCCAATAGGAGACTCCAACTGCAGTGGCGCAATTCGAGTAGTTGAATCCCCTGAATCAGAAGAAAAGTCCATCGCAGCTCTGATTCTAGACCGACTCCTGCTCTTCAGATTTACTCTGCTATGTCTCAACTTCACATGAGAAGTAAATGCATGGAACTGCATATAGCACAGAGACATACATCAGTTCACCTATCTTTTGGCCACAAAAAGACATCAATACATAAACAATAATGCCTCCATAAACAGTGCAGTTGTTTTCATGATTATTAATACAAGAGCGAAAATTCGAAATTCTTTTGAAACTACATACAGTGGTATATAGCACAGAGCCACAGAAATACAAGGATGCATAAAGCTGTGCATCCGGCAGATATATTAAACATCTGTTATCTCATATTTCACCAAATCTAAACACAGCTGAAGAGAAGCAAATAGTCAAGCAAAAGAAATACTGTTCCTATGATAAACTGTATCTGTTTCATCCTCATAATATTGTTCCAATGCTGCAAGATACAGCTAGCCAACCATGATTCATTTCTAAAAGTATACATATATTTAAGAAATTCCCCATATGCTGAAATGAAAAACAAAGCTATAAATATGTGCAGTTACATTATAACTCCAACTTCCAAAAAAATGCCATTTTCCCAGCAACCAAGAACGGAATATGAATCAATAAATAAAAAATTTGCTTCTTCCCCCTCTTTTACCACTATATAAAGTCGAAGTTCAAGCCAAACTTATGAAACGCTTAAACCATGCCTGATTTCAATCAGCGAACTGGGAAGGAAGAATCACTACAAAAATAGATAGACCAATAATGCTCCATAGTAACCAGAAATGAGTTCCAAGCTTCTCCAAAAACGAATCAAACGACATTAAAGACCCAGAAAAACCAATAAAATCATAACAGGAAAAAGGTCAACTTTGAACCAAATAAAAATCCAACAAACCAATTACTATCAAAATCACGTTAATACCTTAAGAGAAGCGGGAGCAACCTGCGGCAAGGATCCAAAACGCAACGCGTGGGGTCCATTCATGCAAACTGATCGAATATTAGCTGTAGTCGGCATGGTCAAAGATGGCCGAAAAGCAGTCGCCGATTCCATATTCAACTGAAACAAAAAAAAAAAAAACCACCAAAAATTTAATAAAAATCACAGATTCAAGAACAGGGAAAAAACCAATCGAACCCTAATCAGAACGTATAGCTGAATCGCCAATAAATTCAAAGCTAAAGCTCACCTAGCGAAATGAAACCAGAACAAAATCGAACTCCGGCAGATGATATAATATGGGTTCGGTTTTTCTAAGGTTTCTTCGGAGCAGTCGTTGATTGAAGGGGACTCGGGAATCGAGACGAATGATTGTGGACGGAAATCGGAGGATTTTATTTCCAAGGTTTTCACTATTTCAGTCTACCGAGGATTAGGTGTACAAAAGATTTTATAATACGTTCTTATAAGTACACTAGTGGCGAACGTGGGGCAGTGAAAAGACACTAATACCCTTTTACAATCAGATTTGTTTCGCCAAATTTTGGGATGTTTTTCTTTGATCTTAATATATTTAGGACGTGTCCAACTACAATAAATAAATATAACCGATAAAGTAATAAATAATAATAAATTTTCAAAAAAATTCTTATGTAAATATGTCCTATCAATATTATAAATTAAAAATGACTTAAAATATATAACAAAACTGGAAATTAGTAAAATATGAATCTAGTAATATATGAATTTACATCGAAACAGATTTCATCTTTGGTTTTTTTCATTGCTTTCAAAGGTTTAATCGTATTGCAAAAAATAATTAAATAATAAAAAATAAAAAAACGAAAAGTTTTTTTTTGAAAAGAAAATAAATCGAAAAAATACTGCCACGTTAAGTGGTTCTTTTCGTGTGATTAGTTACAAAGACACTCAATGATCATCACTTTCATTCTAAGTCAACTTTTAGTGACAGCAGTTACAATGTTTCTAAAGAATTTATTAACTAATTTTTATTCTATCAATAAATTAATAATTATTAATTTATCGATAAATTAATACATTTATAATTTTTTTTTATAATTCTAACAGTATCAATATATAGATATTTTACTCTACTATACACTTATACAGCTTAAAATCATATCAGATTAACAGGGTTTTGTCATGCTCAATAAGTAAACGTCTTGCTCTGATAAGGAGAGTTTAAATTGTAGAAGAAAAATTAAACTATAAAAGTTAGAAATGTATAATATCTAATTATCAATTTGTTTAACACAATATCAAATTCTTAGTCTAATGCACAGAGAAAGTCCCTCCGGTTCTTGTTATAAGCATTTTTGATTTGTCTTAAAAATTATTTAGCATGTTGTTGAATTAGAAGAACAAAATAAATGTGAAAAATATATTCTTAATGTTTTATTTTTAATTGAAAAAACATGCTAAATGAAACTTAGGACAGATCAAAATGGAAGTACGACATAAAACAAGGCAAAAAAGAAAAAAAGAAAAGAAAAGAGAGAGAGAATCATTTATTTAAGAAAAAAAATATCAAAAGCTGATAATAATTTGATGGGTATATTTGTAATTGCAGCACGAGGATGAATTTGATCCATTGAAGAGATCTTTTGGGGAAAGGTACAAACAAGAAGTAGCTACTAGTATTCTCTAGTGTCCAATTCATTCATTCTCCGCCCCTTCTTTGGTCCAGAATCGTTCCCGTGGCCCTCGCCGTGGTGGTGGACAAAACGTTAGAAGACCTGTTTCGTTTCTGAATACGTGGCTTCTTCCCAGTGGTTAATGTTTATTTGTGGTTTTACAATTCTTTTAGCCTCACAGAAAATCTTCAGTCAAATCTTGCCGGTCAAATTTATTTTTTTGGTACAAAAATTCAGCCGCCTCAATGTTTTAGCCCACCTCTACAACCAAAATTCTCATTTTTAACAATCTGTATATATCTACTTTTGTTCTCAAATTTCTTTCTTGCATTCATCAGAGTAGTACTCTTACTGACCAATTACTAGTGGAAAATTTGGCCAGCAACAAGTACAAACTCAACAATGGCCAAACATGAAAAAAATGCCATACACTATTTCTAATAGATGGCAGTTAGAAGCTAGTGTAGGATCTAAAAAAATCAATATGTTGCGGGCAGCCTTCCCTAACACAAGACCTATGTACCATGCACCCTACACTTGGTCCTCCGTAGGACATGGAACAAAACCAGATTCCAGTTGAGCTCCCAAGGGACTTGCCACTCATGATGCACATGAAAGACAATGATAGTGGAGCAGAAGGGCATTCTGGCAAAAGCCGAAATGGGTGCCATCTTAAGATCAAGTCTCTGGGCAACACTCATGTAAGATAGTATAGTGATGCCAAGCATATTAAAAAGTCGGAGAGGATAAGACCCGCCACGTCAAAAACAAATTTTGGAGCGAATAGGCCCCAGACCTGCATCGTGAAATTTCATAATATTAATTGAAGAACATGAAAATGTATTGTTGACATCCAACGCATAACTAAAAAGATGCAACTAATATAAAAGGAACGCATGATCTAACATGTAGAAGGAACAAAAATGAAAGGATACCATCAAATGCCGTCTTTGAATTGCAACACACAAAATTGTCAATGTCGCCGGTACAGCTATAGTCAGTCCATACATTAAGTAAACCTGAAAACAAATGCCATAAAACTTGTTGAAGGCTACTGTTAAAAACCCAAATTCGAAAGGAGCAAACTAGTGCTGGGTATCTGAATTGCAAGTCAAACAAACATGATAATCTTACCTGACACAATCGTATAGAAAATGAATCCTCTTTTTCCTTGGTTCTTTTCTTGGGATGTGAAAATGCAACAACCAGTGGTAGTCCGAGTATCGGTAAAATGTGAGAAAAGCCAAAAGTGTCGAGGGTGAGAAGGGCAGCTTGCCAAATGATGTTGAATTCATCAAACCTAAATTAAAATCAAGGATTAGTTCACATGCAAAGCTGAATGTAACCTTTTCCCACCGATCCATTTCAACAACTTTTTCCAACAGCCCCAGTAAAAGCACATAATGAAAGAGTTAAAAAAAAGAAGGTACCATGATAATTTGGTTAATATATAAAGAAAACAGAAGAAAAGGAACTCAAGGAAGACCAAGCCCTTCATTTCCTAGAGGCTGAAAAATGTTCTCACCCTATAAATGCAGCAGCATACCGTAGGCCATCGAAAGCACACCTGGAGAAGAATCAACTTGTGAGACAACATGGAGGAAGATACAAGACCCGCAGTTCCTGTGGATCAGAAAACTTCACCTATGGAAAGGGTATTTCAAAAATCCTATAGAACATTGTAATTTATAAGTTGTAACATAAAGCTTCTTTCTTGAGCTTTATACTTCCAAAAATTCTCCAGTAAAAGGAACTAGCCTCAAGAAACTTATTTTCGGAATGCGATACTATGCCCTACCAGTTGCATTTGAGAACCATGTTACATGAAAGCATCCCCCAATAAGTGGGAAAAGAAGATAATCTCAACTTAGCCCATAAAGAAGCAGAATGAAATGGCTGGCCCTGGTTATTTATGTGCTTCAATGCTAAAAGTTTCGATAGCTCACCAGTGACCGGTGCAGAAAAATAGAGATGTTGCAAGCAGGCTCCACTGTGCTGTGGGAAATGAATAAAATGATGAAGTCCCAACATAGGAACTATCAGACTGTTTGCGTCTCAAGAACTGAATAATGCACCAGCCTGTAATTAGAATGCCCACCAAATCTTCAAATTAGCAACTAAAGAAAAATAGGAACCTGCTACAGAAACTACAAAGTCTTTCAGTGGAAAGTACCAAATATAACTAGTTCACAAAATTGTGATGTAAAAGGCAAGGCAGTCAACTGATGATCAATTTTTTTATTTATTTATTTTTTTGGGGGTGTAAACTGTTCTACTCATTTGAAGAGGAGATACCTGCAATGATGGAAAATAAAGCAACCAAAGGACCTTGTCTTCCTGAGAGAAGGATAACAGTTGAACTACATGAAGATAACATGGTCAATGCTGTAATTGTTGCACTCTTGTCCAGATGTTTTGTTGCGTCTCCATAATAAGGTTTCATTACAGCCAAGAATAGAAGTTGGAGAGCAGTAACAGCATAGACAGTTCGAGGAATCAGATGTCCTTTGATAGCCTCAATCACCACCATAGGAAGATACAAAAGGCTAGAATCAGATGTCCAAATCAACACTATGAGAGCATAGTTGAATATTGTTCCGGCAATAACAAACTTTGAAATCCCCTTAAATGCATTGGACAACATGCACCGATACAGGATACAAGCCAGAAGCACAAGACCTACTAGTGGTACGATTTCAACCACATACGTCAAAATCACAGAGTTGTTTAGGATTCCATGTGTCCAGGATGGTTGATACTTCAAGAACAAAGAATTGACAGCCTGTTTCGCTTGCCCAAGTTCAATGCCAAATCTAAGCAATGGGACCAAAAGAACAAATATGAGCCCCTGCAGATTTTTAAACCAAATAAGTAATGGACCATACAGAAAGAACAATTAAAAATCTTCAAAGATTCCAAAAGGAATCTAGAATTTCCAAAAAGAACCAAGTCAGGGACAACAACATAGGTATATACATCCAACACCAAGGCCTTTTGGGCTAGAGCGTGCTGTAGCTGAAGCATTCCAGTTGTGGCTAAAAGGAAACTAGCCACTTTGCCTTCTTCCACTGGGTCACGGTTAAACATGGAACCATAATATTAGATACCAGATATTTAAACCCCTGCTTTGAGAAGTGCTAAAATAAAGACTTACATATAAAACTGTTTGAAAGGAAACTGAATGCTCGTATGAGCACTACACCCCAAGCAACAACCGCAGTGAAGGAAATCCCGGAGTCACCAGAGAAATGAACATGATGTTGAAATTGCTTGTCCAACCTCTTAATGATGTAAACATGGACAAAAAGAGAAACCACCATCAAGCAGAAACCACAAGTCATCAGCCTTAAGTTAAACTCGGTCCATTTTGACCGCGCTAACCCAGCAACAGTTGACAGGAAATTGGAATATCTATCAATTTGCATCTTGAGTACAGATGATGACAAGAAACAACTATTGCTTTCACACGGATATTTGATATTTTTTGACCAAAGCTCCTGAGCATTTGCGTAGAGATCTGAAATATATACTAAATCCTTTCCAGAAAACCCTATTGCTGATGAAGCTGAGTAGGCATCAATGTAACGCTTTACCTGCATTATGTCCAGCCTAGCGTCACAGAGTGATAACCATAATCAACAGAGAAAAAGAGCCAAGACCAGTACATTCAGATGATTCCAAATGACTGGAACTAGCAACAACCAATCAATAACACTAAGAAACATTCCCAGATGACAATGATAAGAATACCTAATAGTACATTAATTAAGTCTCATTCACCGGCAAGCACAAGCAACATGTACATACTTAACTCTAAACTTCATTTTGATCACCAAGGCACTTGGATTTTTTTCAGATCAGATGCCATTACAAAAAATGTAACCAGTGAGAGGTTGCAAGAAATTTACTTTCAACCATTCAAATTCTATGCAGGAGTAGTTAATAAAAACTAGAAATCAGGAACATGCCCAACAATAATGATGCTTGCTTGAAGTCCTCTTTAGCTGGACTCTATTCGAGGAGATAGTAACAATGCAAAGAAAAGTAAAACAAATTGCTTACTAATTATTCATCGCCAAAGCTGAAAGTGGTTATGAATAAGAATGAGCAAATGATTAAAGACATTAAGCTATCTAGCTTCAATTGACATGCCACATGATAGAAATTGATAAAATTGTGTTGAAGACACTTTTCCAGAACAAAATGCATCCGAGTTTCAAAATGAGATTCTTTTATTAAGGTCATCACCTGATATCTAGTGCTGAAAGCAACTAACTTCATTCATGATTTTCTCTCCTATGCAGGCTTTTTTGCAAATGATCCTATGATGCAGTTAATTAGTGGTCCACCAATCCTACTAAAGAGTCTAAGATGAGTAATCACCTCGAAATCCCAAATCTAAAATGACAAAACTAACATAAATGCTTAAGTTCTATTCTAGCATCACAATGTCACTAGCCAGTGAAAAGGTCAACATGTGAGTTTGATTAGAGTGGCCAGCCTTTTTATAGGTAAAAATCATAATCTGCATGAACAAAAGAAATTGCATGCATTCCTGTAGCCCAAGTAAAATGGCCAAATGGCATAAACAAAAAGGAAACAGACCCTATGACGGAGTGATCAATATTCATCAATGCATTACTACTTGTAGGCCGGATACTTTCTTTCTTGAACTACATTTATTAACAACGAACAAACATGGAATTTGACGATAGAGAATTCAAGAAAACCTCTGTCTACATATACCCGAGTTATGAAAACTTCAAGATATCACGCAACCACTGCTCTAAAAATACACGCACATCAAAGATAATTAGTTCAGTCCAGTTCGGGACGAAGACTGATGCATGAAAGAAGTTGGAAAAAAGGGGAAGAGAAACCAGGCTGTACCTGCCAAGAATTGATGCAAAGGACATTGACATAATTCTCCATCCATGCGTCCGAGTCATCATTCTGTTTGTTCATAGCAATAAATTTTGATTCCCTTGAAGCAGCGACTAATTCATAAAGTTCTGGATCAACACGGCCAATACTGTAAATGAACCAAACGTATTAGATTTCATTCTTTGATAGATATAAACAAAAGCATATGATACAAAATTTCAATATATTTTACAACAATTGAGCCTACAAAAGTACGAATTTCGGGGCTTTTCTGCCTCTCGGTGACTTGTTTTTCTATGTATAAGTCATTTTCTCAGTCATGCATTTCATCATCTAGCTCTTTCTTTTATTCCACATTTTTACAAACTATATCAACCCTCAAAATGTTTCCATCTGCTGACGATGCTAAAAATTTTACTTGAAAATGATACCAAATGTCTGTCTCTCTATTAATCTCTAGTGTGGTATTTTGTAGTGTGATACCTATGACCAACACACAGAGATTGCAACACCAAAATAAGCATGAAAATACAAGCTCAAGAATTCCAGAGGGACTTCTAACCCTACAGAACTACTTATTACACTCCTGCATACTCATTCTTTTATCTCTTCCAACACTCCATTTTCTTCATTCCGACTGAAAAAATGTTTTATCCGAAGAATATCTTGCTAGATCACAGCACCTTCCAAAAGGAAAAGGAAGACCAAGCAAGGCAGCTACTGTAGACGCAAAGTCAAGCTGCAACGGTAAAGCATGATGTAACACCAAGTGTGGCAGATAAATGAAGGATTAAAAAGATAAGAACCATTAGTTCATATCATATTAATGAAGCTCCATTATTGATGAAAGATTACTAACCTGAAAAATGGAGCTAATAGAAGTCGCCTTTGGTTCCTGAGATGCAAAGAAAAGTTGACCAGGAATATTAGGTTACTATTAGTGAAATGTGAAGAGATGACACAGTTATCAAACAAATATGCCATGATTTTACTCAAAGGAGACACGGGAGCCAACATGACAAAATTATACTCCCTCCGTCCCATAATTATTGTCCAGTTTTACTAAAATGAAAGATTTTATTTTTAGTCAAACTTAACTATATTTTACCTTCAACAACCGGATATACCCCTACATAAGTAATTGTTTAACCACTAAGATTTTATGGATAATGTTTTTTACTAAGGACAAATGTGTAACTTGATCCATAAAAAGTCAAATTGGACAATAATTTTGGGACAAAATTTTTTGGGCAAAGTGGACAATAATTATGGGACGGAGGGGGTAAGAGTTTATTTGCTGCCAACAAGTGATTCAGTCTCTAAGTAACTAAAATCCTACTGAATAGCGTACGAGCCACATTTGCGACAACACAACTGAGCTGAAGTAGGTGTCGGAATACTGCAATTACTCCCCCATCATCTGAAAGAGTCATTTCTCCACCAAACTACAGTTGGACAGGATGGTACACTAACATTTTGGCAGCAAAAGTATGAGTCATTGCCAGAATAATTTGTTATCATAGGCCCAAAAAAATTCCATATTGTGTTTCAAATCTAAAAATCAATTATTTCCAGAGGTTAAATCACTAATGTACTCTGTGTTAAGAGTGTCATCTCCTGCTCCACACCATCTAAGAGTATTTATAGAGTAAAAATCCGATGAAGTTGCTTTCTACGGCAGATATTAAGCAAATAACAGTCAAAACCATATCAACTGCATCAAAGTAGTATGGGCGTCGAAAATAACCTTTTATAAGCAACAATTATCAATAGTAAGTTAATCTCAAAACATATGACAGGTAATAGATAACGCCAAGTTCAGCTCCACTACTAGTCAATTTTACAACATTAACTGCTACAGCTTAACCACACAATCAATCATATCATACGTTAGTGAGACATTTTGACCAAATATATAGATGTTAAAAAGAAAAGAGCAAGATAAACCACCTCTAACTGGCAAGATGACTTATCAGATTCACATGGAGGAGGAGAAGAGGCATTCTTCAAGCTCATGGCGAACAATGCAGTTTCAACCTACAGCACGTGATTCTTTAGCAAGAAACAGTGGCTGAGATAGGATTTCAGTTTATTAAGGTAAAACTATCCATTAACGTCACCTCTTCAGGACTTCCACCGCCATGGTCACCATTAATTGTTTGTCCATGGTCACCCATAACTAGAAGCAAAGTATTTTCATGTAAGCCACCTGGTCTGCTCGAGCTCTCCAGAACTTCTACAACTTTCTATCATAAATTAGAAAACAAGTCAATTACCATGAGAGGTACACAACAACAAAAACAACAATGACAACCCAGTATATTTCCAACTTCATGGGGGTACGGTTAACAAAATATGAAGCCCCTATGGATAGTGACCGCATGCAAAGATGGGCAGAGATCTAAGTGTCCCTCAATTCATCCATGACAGTTAAGTAGCATACTGTAAAGGAAACTCTATCCCAAAAAAATCAAACTTTCAAACAGTTCATTTTCAAAGACATAAATATCATATCTTCAGGAAGCTTTATACCAGAAGCACTATTTTTGAAGGTTGAAAATGCTGTAACACCCAGTAATGGCATTTTATCGTCATTCACGGCAATTCTTGTAAAGAACAAAATTGAATACTTTGCAGCAAAACATATATTGCAAGCTTACCTCCAACATTCCATTGTATTGCTCCAGCTTTTCCACCATCAGTGAGGAATCAACACCATGTATATGCCCCGCATGATCCTGAATATTAAAAAAGCATACTCAATATATAATTTTCATCTCCAAGAAAACCAGAAAATCCAGGAGAAGAAGTCCACATGCAATATCATGAGAACAAGTTTGAATTGAACCTTCAGGAGGCATCCTAACCAATATAAGCAGATAAGAGAGACGGAAAGCAAAACCAAGGAAGAGGTGCATTGAAAGCTATAAGTGAGTTGCATGCAATAACAACATCAACGAGCAGATATCAATACCAAATTCATGAGTTTTATGCAGCAACAAAAAACAACAACAACTAAACCTTCATGCCTCCAGAGAAAAAGTATTGAACAACAATGGAGTTACAATAAAGTAACAGCAGATACACTCGCTTCTAATAATGAACTACCTCATAAAGATTAACTTTTTTCCAATTGATTTTACTATATACATATATACATATATATATATATAGCGACACAGGAAAGTACCATGAAATAACATTGCAGAAGGAAACATACCACACCAAGAAAATGTGCAATAAGTACATCCCAATCTTCTCTGTACAACCAAGGAAAGATGTGTTCAATGCACCCGTTGTCAACCTGGAAAAGGATGGTGAAATTCCACATGGAGATCACAAAAGGATGGAGAAATTTAATCATGTACATCCTTTTTACAATATGGGAATGGTGTCTAAGATGATACTGATCACAAAAGAATGCTCAGAAGTGGCTTCCATGATATACGCACAAGAGAATTTGACTGAAACAAAAAGTTACAGCTTACCGTGTGGAGATCTTTAACATTGAAGGATGGAAAGGGATAAGATGTATTGAAATGATTAGGAAATAATTGCACCCATGTATCATCGCCCATCATAACCACCCTCTTTCCATTTTGAGCCAACTGTAATACAAAGTGACGGATTCAAACAAAGAAACTTAAAAGGCAAATCACCTTCTAGGGGGAAATAGAAAAAAGAAATTGCACAGCCAAAAAATCAGTCCATGTACGATTGTATAGCAAGCCAAACCACACTGAAGAAAGCCAGCTAACAGTCATGAACAAGCACGCACCTGATATAGCAAGTTATCTTCAACGATTGCAGGTGCCCCAAAACTATTACCCACATCAATAAATGTTGGAAGTCCACCAGTAGTCAAACCCTAAAACATGGAAAGATGCAGAATTATCTTTCACTTAACCAAGAGAACCTCTTCTTCGTCTAAATAATTTTTTCAAAAAAAAAAAAAAAAAAAAAGAAGAGAAAGAGAGAGAACCTAAATCGACATTTTTCTTTTACTGCAAACTATAAAGGCAATGCAATGCAATTAGTGATCTAAACTGTAAATCTGTAATTGATTTCCCAACGCAATGCTTGACCCAACCTAGCTACTGACATTATGTAATATCAATCATTCTAGTGTTCATTCATCAAACTTCCCATTAAAGAACTCCGAAAAGAGAAAATCTTAGCTTTGGAGAAATGCTCTACCTTTAGACGTTGCACACTGGTGGTAGGGGGATCTGCAATTGCTTTAAAAATCTTAGCAAATGATCCTGGTTTACTTGCTAACTTCTGCAGCACTTGTAATTTGTCCATCCATGGTTTCTTCTCTTAATGTAACAGAGAGAAAACTAAAATTCAGTACAAAACTAAACACACACACACCCCCGAAAAGGCAATAAAAACAGTACTTGAAACATTTCAATAAAATCCCTGTAGAGCGTACCTTCAAATAAGGAACTGGGAGCAAGGAAATCAAACCTATTCCAACAAATTCAAGCAAGAACAGAAAGAGGCTCGTCATTATCTATATCGAGCACTACAGATTTATGATTCAAAACAGAACAATCATACTACTCAACAATAATTAGACATTAAAACAAAAGTAGTACCTGAGAGCATCGAGGATAATAATAACGACACGATCAACGGCGGGCTTAGTCCAGCATCCCTGACCCAGAGGCGGAGCAATAATAGTCCGATTCTGATTACGATCAACCGGGTCAATTTGTTCCTGCCGGCCGCCGGCTGAGGAGGGAAAGCACGGAGATTGGGAAATATCAGAGCATTGGCTATACAGAGGCAATTCAGTTCGAGTGAGGAGAAAGCCTCGAGTGAAGAGAGCAATGGCGGCAACGTGAAGTAGCATTATTCCGAAGAAAACTGTAAAAGCCCATTTGCGGGAACCCAATTTCACGCCCATTGGAACCGACACTTGATCTGCGACAATGGGAATTGATTTCTACCCGGAAATTTATCACATGTGCTCCGAAGAAATCTGTGAAATTTTGAGAAGGGGTTAAGAAGAGGACGACGGAAAAGGTTTTGATATTTGAATAGGAGGAGAAATGACGAGGGAGAACATAGAAAGTTAAGAAACCAAAATTCGGTAAAGGACTCATCCATAATTTTTTTTTTATTAAAATTAAAATTCAGTTTTTAATCACCTAACTACAATTACTTTTTTCTTTTGGAAAAAAAAAATTAAATTTTTCATCATTTTTTATACCAACGCAAAAATGATTAAAAAAACAAATTCATCACATGATCATCATGGTTTGGGATGATCCTTAACAACCATTTGGTTTTTTAGTTCTAATTATTTTGAAAAAACACAAAAATTACCTAGATTAAATAAATGTACAAGACATATTATTTAATATTGTTAAAGTACTCCCATAAATTAGCTATAAATATATATATATATATATATATATATATATATGCACTTGTACATACCCGATGACAAGGTCGATATTACGAGAAATTATTCAAAATAGCTGTTGTACCACGTAGGATTGTGCAGCCAGACACAATAATAGGGGTAAAATAGTAATTTTTTTTGAGGAAGAGAGATAATTTCTACGGGAGTTATATCACCAAAATAGAGAGGTGCTAGTACTTGCTGTACTAAAAAGAAGGATACAACAATTGTACCCAATAATTTTTCCAATATTACATGTTGAATTTTTTTCAAACGTTAAATAGATGTGTCAACCGGTCACTTTTACTACTTTTGATATTAACTGCTACACATTTGTTACGAGTAAAAATTGGTGAGATGGATTATAGTTAATTGAAAGTCAACACCTTCTGTGAACAATAACAAATTAATATTAATATTTCTTGTATTTTTATAATTTTATTTAATGTAACTGTCTTCATTTTCCAAACGAACTACTCCACCTAAACTAAAAAACTTTTGAGGGCCTATAAATTCGTGCACATTTATACACTTCCAGAGTTCTAATTTAAAAACGCGTCGACTTTAGCGTCGATTGTGACTAAGCCAGCGGTTAGGTCGGCGGACTGCATTTCGAATTTTCTTCTGGGCTTCAACCCTCCTCCATCATAGTTTTTCTTTCTTTAAAACAAAATAAAAATAAAGACCACATATTTCATTAATTAACTAAGGAAACATCATTGTTATATTAACCAAAAACATGATTCGAATAATCCATCTTACAATTAAAGTAAACTTGATGATCTTCATGGTTAAAACGAACCATTTGCCTCTTGCCTTGTAATTAGTTTTTACAAGCAAAAATTTCCAGAGGTTAGATAATTATTACACATGTTACAATTATATAATATTATTAAGATACTCCTAGAATCATTTAAGAACGAAAAGATTAAAATGAAATTACCAAAAAAAAAATCCGGGAAAATTACTGAAACATAGGAAAATTTCATCTACTTTATGTTGAGTTTGACTTAGCGGAAGGCTAGGTCGATGGTCTACATGTTGGACTTTCATCAAATTATCTTTTGGATTTCAATATTTCATAATCTTTTTTATGCCAACCCAAACAAGCATGATTCAGACCATCCATTCAATAATAAAAAATAAATGTAATGATAGTAATGATTTAAGATGATTCATGATGACCCGTTTAAGATTACATCATTTACTGACGGTAATGTGATGAGGAATTGCTCGACAAGAAAAATTATTAATCATAAATTTATTTGGCTCCTGAATCTTTGTTCTCTCCGATTAAAAATAATTGATGGAGCGTGGTTTCCTTGACTTTTCAATTCCAAGATGTTGCCTTAATCAAGGGTTGCCCGATACTATGAATAATTGGAGTTCATCTTCGGGCAACATATGGAAAATGACTCGGCAACAATGAAGAAGTAACGTATGTTGTTTTTGCACCAATTAATTAACGATAAAGTCCTTTTTCTATGACTATCAACAACAATTAAGCTAATAGGAAGGCTGATCATTTCAATTTCTTGCTCATAAAGCCTTCAAAGAGCTATGAATTTTCCCCAAACATGATAATAGTTTTTGTCAAATTATACGATTAATCACAAACAACAAATTAAGTTACGCTTATCTTGTTATCTTTTTAGTCAATGTCGGAACCGGACAGGAGTGCCCTAGCTAGTCTGAATTAATCAAATTCGTAGACTTTTCTTCATTCGAATGAAAATTTTCCTCGAAATTGTAATACTAAATAATAAACTTCATCTGAATAGTCCAATGTTGTTTGGAAGATCAATTCAATCAGCTAGCCATCTCTGTCACATTAACCTATATATATCTTCATCTTCGGATCTTTTGGATGTAAGAATCAAAGTGAAAACTAAGCACACATATTTTGCTAGAGTTGCAAAAAAAAAAAAAAAAACTAATAAAAAATTGAGAGATCCATATTGAAATTATTAGTACGTAGTGATTTCAAAAATGATGATGAGATTGGTTGCATTACTTCTTCTCGCCATTACGATTTCCGCTGCCCAATTGGGTCATGGCCTAATTGATGACCAAAGCCCCGAAGGCGTTCAAAAATGGTTTGAAGAATTTCCGGATGCAAAACCCAAGTTAACAAAGCTTCATTTCTATCTTAACGACATTGCCAGCAAGAAGCCTCCGATGAGCGCTCCGGTTGCGCAGGCCGAATCTACGGCCACATCGCCGACCAATTTCGGCTTAGTTACCGTGATGGACGGCGCACTAACCGACAAGCCGAGTGGAAAGGTCATCGGTCGGGCTCAAGGGCTTTTTACTTTTTCCTCGCAGGAAGAATTAAGTGCCCTTGTGACCCTTAACTTTGTGTTCACCGACGGCGAGTTCAGTGGAAGCACCCTCAGCGTTTTGGGGCGCAACCCCATAATGCAAGCCTACCGGGAACTTCCAGTGATTGGTGGTTCCGGCGCGTTCCGGCTAGCACGAGGGATGGCCACCGCTAAGACTTACTATCAGAATGTCACCGCTGGAGATGATATTGTTGAAGTTCAAATGGTTTTGTACCGTAACGTTCTTCCTGGTCAAGAGGATTAATACTGATGATGCCACTGCTTAATTATATAAAGTTGAATTAAACCTTCTCATGCATAAATTCATTTGTCTTGTTACTCAATGAAGAAGTATTTTTTTTTTTTTTTTAACCTTAGTTCATTAGTACTTGAAATAAACATCTTGTACTCAATAAAATTGGTTGCGGCAATTGGGAGGTCATGCTCTATTACCACAACTTTCTAATGAAGTGATTTGTTATTTCCTACTTGCATGTTGTATTAAATCATCCTAGTAGCGGTTTTCTTGCTTGTCAAGATTCCACATCTCTCTTACGCATCTTTCTTTTATACAAAACTCCAGAAAAAGTATGTAATATTTGTCAAAGAGATTTAGTTGAATGAGTAAGATTATTTTCTTATAACGCATGCAGTGAAGAAATGTTTATAGTCTATAAAACAAAATTGGAAAGGACGTATAAGAAGAAGATTTAAATCCACTATTATTACACCAATACAGAATTGGAGATAAAAGGGAGAACAACGTCAAAAGATAATTCGCATCATACATATTATGTGTCATGAGTACTACTATGAACCCTTCTTCTCGAGTGTTTTAATTTTTTTCCTTACCGTTTGCTTCTTCACCAATTCTTATTACCATTGTAATATCTAGACCACTGTTAATTTCTTTTCCCCTTATTTATTTCTTCTCAAATTATTAAAATTATACTACGATTAAAATTTTCAGCGCATGATAATATTACTAGTTTTTTTCTTTTAAAAAAATTTAATTTTATAAATACCTAAACTATTAAATGCAAGTGTACTAGTTTATGAAGGAATAGTACTACTACAAAAGAGACTCCACACACACGTTTCTATCCAGTGCTTAAAAAAGGTCTCTTGTAAACCTGCAATTTCATGTGTTTTCGAACCCGGATCTTTGATGGTTGAGCTCAAACAATTTGAGCTATTCCCTTTGGCATATACTGTACAAATTGGGATTTGAATAAAGTACCAAATGAACGTCTAAGGTATTCGAACACCACCAACAAAAAAGAGAAAAAGAAAAAAGAAAAAACCATTCGATAAAAAACGCTAGGCTTCCACCGGCAATCTCAATTCGGGCATTTTGCCAAAATCTGAATCTTCAAACTCTTTCACCTATCTGCATTTTGTTTATTGATCTTCCTTCAATAAATTATTGTTTTCGAAAAGGGGTTTTAAGGAATAATGTAAGGAGTGTATTCTAGAGAAATTATGTAATACCGTCGACTTAAATCAGTTAATGATTTCAATTAAGACTGCAATAATTTTGACAAGCATAGATAATATGTTCCATTTGCTTGGATAATTGATAAATCATTCAGTTTGGAAGTGTAACTTTTGCCATTTGGAAAAGGAAGACTTTAATCAAAATGGAAAATTAAAATAAAGTGGAGTAAGTATATTTTGTTCTAACGTGCTCCTGGATTGAATCTTTTTAACTTATTAACGAAATCAAATTAAAGGAACTTGGATTTTTGTCTCCAAGGATATGTAAAATCCAGACCAATTCCTGTTCAAATATATACTAATACATTGATTTTTCAATTTCAAGGTGTGTTTTAATCATGTGTAGGTGTAGCTATTGTACATGCTATCTAATTTTCATCAAGCTTACAGATCACTCAAGATAAGCTATGACCTACGTGTCATTGTTTTATGAACTTCCTAGGAACATGGAAAGTGACTACATACAACGAAGAAATGTACATATAAGTTGTGTATCCTTCCAAAACTTAGCCTCCAAAATCCTAGAATTTTCAAGGTCAATTAGTAGTATTATTTTGGTCAAAGCAACACAGATCTACCAACAAGAATATTATGCCCAAGTATCCAATCTCTTTTTTTGTTTCTTACACCTATCTTATGAAGTGTTCTAACTCCAACAAAAAGTCTTACATTTTCTCTTGATCTTTTTTTTTGGTGCAAAAAAGGAGGCTGACAAAACTTTAACCATCCAATAACATGACACCCAAACAAATGCGTATACGTTTCTACTTCTTGATAATAATTCATTTGAAATGTCCACAACATTATTTGTTCGTACAATTCAATTAGCCACCTCTCTCATCTGTATCTCCACATCACATTACCCTATATATATGTCCATCGTCTGATCTCTCCATGCAATAAAAACACTACAAGCAAAAAATTATTTGAAATTGAGTTGCAAAAGATTTTGAGTGATCCATATTGAAATTATCTACGCTTACAAAAATGATGATGAAATTGGTAGCATTGCTTCTTCTGGTCATTACCATTTCCGCTGCCCCATTGGGTCATGGCCTAATTGATCAAAGCCCCGAAGGTGTTCAAAAATGGTTCGAAGAATTCCCAAATGCAAAACCCAAGTTAACAAAGCTTCATTTCTACCTCAACAACATTGCCAGCAAGAAGCCTCCGATGAGCGCCCCGGTTGCTCAGGCCGAAACTACGGCCAGTTCGCCGACCAGTTTCGGGTTAATCACCGTGATCGACGCTGCATTGACCGCGACTCCCGGTGGAAAGGTCATCGGCCGAGGTCAAGGGTTCTTTACTTTTTCCTCGCAGGAAGAACTAAGTGCTCTAGTGACGCTTAACTTTGTTTTCACCGACGGCGAGTTCGATGGAAGCACCCTCAGTGTTTTGGGGAGGAACCCTATTACTCAAACCTACCGGGAACTACCGGTGATCGGTGGTTCTGGCGCTTTCCGGCTAGCACAAGGGATTGCCACCGCCACGACTTATTACCAAAATGCCACGGCAGGAGATGACATTGTTGAAGTTCATATGGTTTTGTACCGTCAGACTCTTCCTGGTCGGGATTCTGATGATTCTTGGGCTGCTGAGTTATGAAGTGGAACTAATATTAACTAAGCCTTATTATGATCCCTAGAATAATTTGTTCTTAAGTTCAGTTTCTTTTGTGTTGTATAATCACCTTCAGTTTGGTCTTGTAGTTATAGTTTTATGAAATATTTTGTATTCAATAAAATTGGTCGCGGATATTGGGAAGTCTAGCCCTACTTTCCGCAACTTTCTAATAAAGTGATTTGTTCTTCTAGACTTCATATATTCGATCACATGTTTTGAGTTCTTCTTCTCATCAGAATGCCAGCTATCTTATGCATCTTTCTTACTTAGTTATCTTTTTCTCTTGTACGATCAAGTTTAGTTTAACGGAGTGATTTTTTTTTTTTTTTAGAAAAACAAAATAAATATATGCGTGACATTCGTTATCATTTTGAATTTCTGATCAGTAAGTTCTAAGCAGTATATATATTTAACGTCATATTTTAATGATAATTGGTTGTTTCTCTTCAAAAAGGGTGAGAACCATAAAACATAGTGCATGTTTAACACACTAGCAAAAGTTCAGATACACACGCGCGGAACTGTGTTTTGGTCAACCATTATTACTTGCAACCAGTTAAACGATTGGTAATCGATCAATTTACTTGGCCTATTAAACAGTTCATATGAAATCGATGAGTGACTAGTTTAAGAATTTATTCAATGGCCATATATTTAATGGTCGATGATTTAATTGAAAATAGGTGAGCGATCCACTTAAGTATTTTAATTTTATCAGGACATCTTAGGGTTAAAAACCATACACCATAACATTTTCTTCAGTTTTTCATAGAACTTTAGTTAATTATAATTTGCAGAGGTTTTGTTAGGCTAAAAATACTACTAGGATCAGCTTGTAATTCAATTCAAGTAATTTTCTTTCTTGTGTGTGAGAGGATCATGTACAATTCACAAACTATAACGTTGATTTCTTTTTGAGTTAGAGTGAGTATATATTATATTAACAACCATCTTAGGTTTAGCGATACTGAATCAAGCGAACGTTTTTATAATCAACAATGATATAGGCTTATGTAATCTTGAAAGGTTCATAGATCATTCAAAATATTACCTTCTTTTCATGAAATTGTGTTTTTCTATTGAGGGTAAAAAATTAAAAAAAAAAGCTAATACGAAATACAATTCCGCGATCCTTATCTCATCTAATACAAAACCTTGACTTGTACAGATGTAGACACATCACCTAACTGGTATTTTAATTTTGTAGGGCATCGCTTTCCTTGCTTTTTGATTCAATGTTGAATTGTTGACTCGCACTGGAATTCCAGTAAATGTCAAGAAAAGTATGATTTCTCTTATTCATAGTTGACGAATATCTGATGATTATGAATGCTTATTCATTTTAAAATGATGGTCTAATTTGTTATAATAATACAATAAACGAAACAATCATTTTGAAGTCGATGAAGTACTAGTAATTTCGGCTTGCAAAATTCATTTTCACAATCAAGAATATATATTCTCACCGAAAATGTCTTTGAAAGAAAATTGAGTATATTTTGTTTTCTCGCAGAAACTATTATTATTATCATTATGAGATAACCTTTTTTTTTCAGGATACATGCATGTCACGTTTAGACTAATATCAATTTGAACAAAGTAAATCGTTGGTGGTATACATTCTTGTGTAACCACTGCTTTCCGTTCTAATGCTTCTCATTTCTTCTTCTTCTTTTTTTCGGAACCAATTAATTTCACCTCAGGAATGAAAATACGAGGTATAGTTTCATCTTGTCTTCCCGGATGGAGTAGTGTTTGTCACGTACGTACGTGACCTTTATTTGGAATGAATAAAGAATTCGTGAAAAATGACTGTGCAAACCAAATTTTGTTTGAAAACTTTATTGTAAAGGACCTGATATATTTCAATACTCGGTGTTATTTTATTCATCGCATCATACCTTACACAAAACTAAAACAAAAAAGGGACCAAAAAAAGAAAAGACAGAAATGTGCAAATAAAAAAAGCCACATAAAACTATAAAAGTACAACGAGCAAATTAAGTAAGGTCAAAGAAGCTCAAAAGTCAAAGCGCAAGTGCCACGTCATGCATGCTTCCATGCAAATCACTCTTCAGCTACAAGCTCAGAGTCACCAGCAAGAGGGTAACGGTAGAAAACGAAGCTCATTTCAAGAATATCATCTCCTGAAGTGGCATTCACGAAGTAACTGCTGGCCGTACCGATCCCTTGCGCCAGCCGGAAATCGCCGGAACCACCAATGATCGGAAATTCTCTGTACTTTGCGGTCACCAAATTGTGCCCTAGAACGCTGAGAGTGCTACCTTTGAACGGGCCGGCAGTGAAAACGAAGTTAAGGGTCATTAGGGTTGCCCTATTTTCTTGTGAGGCAAACGTAAACAGCCCTTGTGAGTAACCGATGATTTCCGACCCGGGCTTCTCTCTTAACGGACCGTCTAGAACGTTGACCAAACCGAAACTCGTGACCGGCGTCGAGGGGGTGGTGCTTGCCTGAGCAACCGGAGCACTGTTCGGAGGGTTCTTGCTCACTATGTTGTAAAGATAGAAATGGAGCTTTGTTAACTTGGGTTGTGCATTATGGGGAAATTTCTTGAACCAATTTTCTACTGATTTCGGGCTTTGGTCATCGGGAAGGCTTTGACCTAATGGCGATAAACTCACCATCATGACAAAAATGGCAAGAACCACTCTCATCTTCATGATGAATTCTGATTCGAAGATACAAATGTTTTTGTGTTTTGACAACTTAATTGTATACTTATTTTGTAGTATATTGTTTTGTTTTGTTGATGGACAGGAGGTCCCTAGGATGGATGGGTTATATAGATGAAGAATTGGAGATAATTATTTGATTTTGTGGAATTTTCAAACTAGATGATCCATTCGAATGCATGCATATGTAATCAACTACAACTTTATCATCTTTTATTTATTTATTTATTTATTTAAATTGATAGACGTAGATGTATGGGCATCCAGATTCAGTTGATGGGGGGAGATACAATATGACACGGTGTCCCTATCCACCTTGTAGCCACTGTTCATTATATTTTGATTGATGGCTTCATTTGTGTTGAACTTTCTCTTACATTATTTGTTGACTTGTCTAAGTCTTTGATAGATTGAATTTCCCTTTTGGTTTCAGTACACGGTTGAATTGTTCAATTGAGATTTATCAGAGCGTAAAGATCTTCTATTAAACAAATCTCGAGTTCTAAGTTATGTGTGAATAAATAATTATTATGAATTTGTTTTTACTCTGAAAGAGGTGTACTAGGTCAAGTGGAAAAATGTAAACATATACCCGTCTACAATTAGTTTATCGTTCATGTATTCAAAATAAATTAGGCAAACGTTTGATATGCATGTACAAATTTTTTTTCGACAGTGATGTTGAATTCTTGACTGGTGGAATTCAAGAGACTAACAACTCATACGGTCAGGAATACTTTTCTCCGAAAGAAAATTATGTTTTGATGTTATTTTATACCCACCAACATTAATTCTCTACCGTAAATAGTGCTTTTCCGCTTTACAGCTCCATTTTTTTTTTATAATAGATTAACATTGGATTATCTCAAATTATAAGATTATTAATACGTCCACCGTTCTACAAAAGAGTACTACTTCACAGTCTTCATATTGGAAAAAAAGTAAAATAATAATAAAAATACTACAACATTTTGAATGTTATTAAAAGCCTAAGTACTTTACATTCATAGTGTTTTGTTCTATTAATATTTCACTTTTTAATTATGAAAATCACGTTGTTGCTTAGAATTAAAGAGATTACAATATATGTTCTTATCTTCCAGTGCTGATAATAACTTGACGATCTCCATAAAACAACAAAGTAGTAATGAGTCTGGGGAGAAATATATATATATATATATATATATATATATAAACCACTTTTCATCATTTTAGCAGAGATGAGCTTCCCGACTCAAATTCAAGATGAACACCACTTTACATACGATGTTATCACCTTCAAACAAATGTATTTTAATTCACTAAATAGATTTTTTTTTTTTTTTTTAGAGCGGAGGGAATTTGTTCGGTTGTACGCACCAGTTGGACCGAATTTGAGTAAATGCATGCACGTCAAAAATCAACAATTTTGAACCCCACTTTATTTTTGGAAACTTATGTGCACTGTGCACATATCCGTTTTTATAACACCACATATATTGAGAAATGACCGATCGAATAGCTGACTTTTCCAAGCAAGAAGGACTTAATTTTCTTTAAAATATATGATTTTCTGAAATGTGGGAAAGCAGCCGGACATACAATAATCTTTGACCTAGGAGGAGGGGCAGCCTGAGGGGATACATAGATATTTTCCAGTCTCTTATGTCATTGTTGATGCATATAAATATAAGACAAATTGAGCTGACCAACTTTTCTCTCCATTAAACTTATTTTCTTTCATCATCTTACTTTCCAAACATACGATGGTATAGTAGGTAATGGTTGGCTCAAACGATACCTGCACCAAACATACGATGGTATAGTAGGTAATGGTTGGCTTAAACGAAACCTGCACCAATTGAAAACAGTATATTAATACAAGGTTTATGGATACAAAATCTTAAATTAAGACACTATTTTTTTAAAATTAGTGACACATGCAGAGAAAATTTACAGAGAACACTTTCAGGGAATGATGTGTCAATCGCTAAAACTATACTCTAACCTTAAATGCTTAAACTTAAATGGAAAATGTTAAAAATGAATTACAATTTATTCTCTGTTAAAATTTTCTCTAAAATTTCTTTCCATTCAGACCAGTCTAGATACACTCAAGAAATTATATAATAAGAAGAAAACAAAATTTCTCTAAAGTGACAAACGCATTTTACCAAAACTCTGATTTTTGGCAATTAGCACAAAACATATACATTCTGATTATTCTCCTCTCCCAACACTTTGATGTGAATTCAATCTATAACTGTTCAAATCTGGTATTCCAAGTCTGTTTATAATTTATATTTTTAAACTAAGTTTGTTTTGGTCTTTAACGTTTATGGATGACTAATCGACGTTTGGACTTTTTACAATAATACAATCTGAATTGTTGACATTACGTATTGATCAGTAATCTACCTAATGTGGGTACGTACTTGATAGTGTTTTCCCATTACGACATAAACTATGTTGAATTATTGCTATCTTAGTGTGGAATTAGCCACCTTTTAAGATTATAATTCTAACTAGATGCGTGCCCTGGGCGAATGCCCGGGGTACTGCTTGTATTTTTAAATCAATTAAATAAAAAAAATATTTTTAAAAGAATAAAAAAATAAAAGAATAAAAAATCGATTGAAAGGACAAACTGAGTTACTACACATAAATCTATGCTCGGGTTTACAACAGTTAACTTATGCTCGAATTTACATAAATCATAAACCAATATCTACAACAGAAGAATAGAAAAAACTAATCATCCTTAAAAATCAAATTTCCTTCCACGACCGCTTCTTTTTCATCTGTTGTAGAAAAAGATGGATTGATAATTGATGACATATTTCAAGTAATTTATTTGAAGGCTTGGGTCTGAGAGAAGAGTGAAATGGAAGAGATCCTTTGGATTGGGGATTGGGGAGACGTTATGGCAGTGCTATTTCACTTGATTTAAGAGAATTTTATGACATTTGATTTTATCAACAAAATATTGTTCTTTTAAGAGATTAGTATATACCTATAATTAATAGATTTTTATGTAGCTATAATTAAGGGATTTATTTTTATGTATTTATTGCATCTTTTTTTTTTCTGATTAGTTAGAGTGACATGTGTCAAAAATGATTTTGTACTGAAAATGACTTTTAGAGAGAAAATTTTCATTTTGGTGCTGACAAATATCTTTTTGTTTGCTGCTTTAATTAAGTACTATAGATTTTTTCAGCTAACTTTTACCCAACTAAATTGTACCCAACAACCCAACTAAACAGTGGAATTGGAATTGAGATCCTTCAATTCTAATTCTTAGCCGCAATTCTATTCAACCGAAGGCTAAGGTATTTTAAAATCATTAGATCCAAGAATATAAGGAATATATATGATTTTAATCTACACAGTCGAAAAATAATTTTCCCTATCTTATAATCTTATCTTTGTCTTTAAGTTATTTTCTCGTACCTATTTCACGTAACAAGTCTTAATTACCTTTTAATATATATTCTGCGATTTTAAATGAAAAATAAAGTAAAGGTTCAGTGTTATCCGAAAATCAGAATCTAAACTGATAGTTCTAAAATGAGTTTTTTTGTTTGGAATTTAATTTTTTGTATAATTTGTGCATGAAATAAAATTCAAGTTAGATAGTCATTTCCAAGGGAGAGAGTAAAGGTTTTTTCATAAATTAAATCTTTAATTCCAAAAGCAGCGTAATAATAGTAAAAATGGCAAGAACGGAAAAAAAGGGCAAAAAAAAAAAAAAAATTGAGGGGAAACCATCGATTTTCCTCCAACGGTTTATTTGCAATATGTCATTCAAAGTTTAATCTGGGGCGACGAATGAAGATTCTACCGTTTCATTTGTAATATGTCATTTTCTATGCCATGCAACAAGTTTGCAAATGTTAAATTAATTATAAATTACTTGATCAGGTTGGAGAAAATGCCTATGAAATGTAACTAAAACCAGGGCATTACAGAAAAGATAAATTTGATGGACCCCCTTTTTTTGATAATTTTTTGGAAAGATTTCAATATAATAATTTTATGATGACCACAATCACTTGAATTTTTTTTTTTTTTTGATTTCGTAAATTATCAAAATGGAACATGGTCGTATAAAATTTTATGGTTTAAAGTTAATATTTTTTTAAAGTTTTGTGACAGTTTGAATGTAGGTGGCTGTGTCCTCTCATTCAACCTCGTATAACATCATAGCTCACGTGAATCCCAGAATATTGATGGCGGTCAAGTAATTGTGTCCAAATTCGTTATTACGTACACGCATTACAGCATTAGTTTAATTTCTGCTTTGAAAACGCTAATCAGCATGTCATTGTTTTCTGTTTTAATTTCATTTTCGAGTTAAAAATGCAATACCTGCTTCATTCAAAACTAATCCAAAGTCCATAGTATTCAATTCAACTGTGAACTGCCTCTCCATTCATTTTGAAGCAGCCGTACACAAAGGCCCTAAGCAATGACATAGGATGGGATAGGATTGATATGAGTTAGAATGGCAAATTTAGTCGAAACGTCCAGAGTTTGATTTTCGATATAAAAGAGCAATCAATTTTATTTTTACATTTTTAAATAAACAAGAAGCCAATGACATAAGGTAACCGACTTTGAGTGAGACTTTGAAGAGATTTTTTTATTGTTGCTTTTACTTGTCTTTACCTATGATCTTATGACCCATAAGATTGACTATGTGTTAAACTCCTATTTTCTATCCCCAAACATTCATTTTTATGGTATTACATGTTACATACTAACAACACCGTGTCCCTTTTCCCTGACTAGACAGATAGTTCATTTTGTGAGTAGTACTATGTACATAATAGATTAATCCCTAGCTTTTCCAAGGTTTGCATTTCAGTATTTTTAACCTTTTTACTAATAATTAGTTGTAAAAATATTCTTTCATATATATCCTAAATCAAATCGAAAAAAACTAATCTATGGCTGCTAAAAGAAAAGAAAATCCAAAATATATGTCCTACCGATGACATATATATCTACATTTTTATATTGAAATCTGAATTCAGTCATCCTAAGTTAAGATGACATGCTACTTAAAGCTATTATACATAACACAAGATAGAGACCGCACACCCGCTACGAAACTTGCAATGTAATTTGCATCTTTGCTTTCGTAACATTATTTTTAAATAATTAATGATACACATGGAGAAGATTATAGATTTCTTGTTCAATGATCTGATTTAAAGATTTTATTTTGTTATTTGAAATTTCCAATCAATTTTTAAATGGTCCATAAAGCCGCCTTCACTGTATTTTTCTCCAATCCTCGCCTATATATAACACATGCTGCTAGAACCATTTTCACAAAAAAATAAACACACATTTACCATATTTCTATAGTTTTTTATATCAGAGTTTAGAGAGCAATCAAAACTATTACACAATGAGAATTTTAGCATCACTTATTGCGGCAACTTTTGTCATGATGGCTTTTATGCCATTGGGTCAAAGCCTTCCTGATGACCAAAGCCCGGAATCAGTCGAAAAATGGTTCAAAAAATTTCCCCATGCAAAACCCAAGTTAACAAAACTTCATTTCTATCTTTACAACATCGTTAGCAAAAGCCCTCCCAACAGTGCTCCGGTCGCTCAGGCGAGCACCACCCCGTCGACGCCGGTCACGAGTTTCGGTTTAGTCAACGTCCTAGACGGTCCATTAAGAGAGAAGCCCGGAGCGGAAATCATCGGTTATTCACAAGGGCTGTTTACGTTTGCCTCACAAGAAAATAGGGCAACCCTAATGACCCTTAACTTCGTTTTCACCGCCGGCCCGTTCAACGGTAGCACTCTCAGCGTTCTAGGGCACAATTTGGTGACCGCAAAGTACCGGGAGTTTCCGATCATTGGCGGTTCCGGTGATTTCCGAATGGCGCAAGGTATCGGTACGGCCAGCAGTTACTTTGTTAATGCTACTTCAGGAGATGATATTCTTGAAATGAGCTTCGTTTTCTACCGTTACCCACTTCCTAAGACTGACTCCGAGTATGTTGCTGAAGAGTGAAAATGAATAATTTGGCTTGAGTTGAGTCTTGAATTCCAGTTAATTTGTACTGCTTTTCTAGTTTTCTTTGTGTTAGTGGCGTTAGTCAACGATGCCACCTCAACTTGTACACCATTGTTGTAAAACAAGTTTGAATAAATCTAAAATTTATATTTGATAGAAGATGTTTGAATTTTATTTCGGGAATAGAATCTTATTTTTTTCAGTTCTTTTTCAAGAAAAAATGAAAAAAGTAAATCACAAATTTTACCATATTATTAGTGTTAGTAATTCTTATGATTATCTCTTTCTTTTTTCTTTTCCCTCTTTTTCATTATTAAAGATAAAAAAATTTCTCTGGACACTAATTAATATCCCAAGTCATTAAATTTCTAAATGAAAAAAACATCACAATAAAAAAAAAAGTAAACCATCACAACTAAATCCTCACACCGGCATGACAAACATAAGTTTGAAATCGGAAGAATACGTTACCGTAACAAGCCTTCCAAGTCTTATTCCTTTTCTAATTAAAAAAATTAAGAACTTAGTCCTTTTAAAAAAATAAATCGTGAATAACAAATCACTCAGTTATAAATCATTATTGATTAATAGTTTGAAAATGACATAAAATATTTTAAAACCCGTTCAACGCACAAGAATAGTACTCTCTCCGTCCCATAATTATTGTTCACTTTGAGTTTTCATTTTTGGTTCAAAATATACCAAAAGTGAAATCTCAAATTGGACAATAATTATAAGACAGAGGGAGTACTAGTTTCAACAAAAAAACTCAATTACTGTTTCAATTTCTTTTGAGGAATATGATGCACAAACTACCGAATCTGTTTAAGTAGAAAAGAAATCCAATCGGAAAAACTCTTCTTTGATCTGATTCAGGAACTAATTATGTATATAAATCCCATGGCATATTCTTACCTTCTGTTTAATATAACAATCTTGTTTAGTGGGTCATTTGTACTGTTTTAATCCAATAAATAAAATTGGAGTATGCAAAGTGTTAAGGAACAAATAAATCACCTACCAGCTAGCTTCGAAGTGGGTAATAAACATTATTGTCCAATTTGAGATTTCACTTTTAGTATATTTTAAATTAAAAATGAAAATTCAAATTGGACAATAATCATAGAACGGAGGGAGTAATAATAATCAATGCTCATGGCGACAAAGCTGAGATTTAAGGTCAAATGACAGAGATATAAGACAAACGTAAGCTTCAAATATGCAGTTTCATACGAAGTTTTATAAGCAGTGAAAGAGATTGTAAAGTGTACAAAGTGATTGATATGAATGAATTGACATTTTACCACCAAAAAAAAACATACGCATCAGTAGATTTCTTTTGAACATTGACGTTCAAAATTAGTGTGTATTACGTGCACGTTTAAAATTAGAAGGATATGAACAAGATCAAATGAATAGAAGGAAAATAAAAGGACAATATCAGTAATTTCTTTCCCTAATTTTTCACCGACATTAGATGAGTTTTCCTCTTCTTCCCCTTCCTTTTTTTTTAACAATTAATTAGTAAATAAATACTTTTTAAAGTTATAGATAATGAATAGTGATAGGTACAAGAAAAAAATGACAAAGAAAAATGACAAAAAATGATGTATCAAGATCTTAACTATGTCCTAACCTTAAATATATAAACCCTATTTGGAAAGTTTTAACGATGGATGGGTGAGATCATTTTCTTGTAATTTTTCATGTCATTTTTCCTTGTACCACTCTTTATCAAAGCAAGATAATATTTCGGATGTATGTACTCGCCTTTTTGGACAGAGGGTTCATAGTAGAATCGGAGTGTAATGGACTGGATTTTTGAAACAAAAATTAATAAGAAATAAATTTCAGATTTTCAGAAATAGAGGCAGAATTGAGGAAAAGAATGTGAATTAGGGAAGCAAGGGAAATCAGAGGATGAGGAAATCTGGAAAAGAAGAAGTTTTCATATAATTTTCAATGATAATCCTTACAAACGTAGCTACAAATCATTTATACTACTAAACTAAAATCTCAATTACAACTTTAACCCTTTTTAATTTTCTTAATTCCCTTCTAACCCCTAACGCGTGACACGGAGCTGGATTCGTTGAGGCCCAACATATATATATATATATATATATATCCTACTATATTAGAAACAAAAACCTCTCTTTCAAACACTTCATATGATTGCCACATGGCATGTAGAAAATACTAAATTACCCTTTTGTCTAACCATAACTAAATTACTAAATCTCCCTTTGCACTTTATGTGGCACATTTTTTTTTTAATTTTTTCTTTATGTTTCATTCAACTAGAGTGGTTTTTTAAATTGAATTGATCAATTAGGTTTTTTGTTACAAAGTGTCAATTTTGTTTTAAGTGTATACCCTTCGGATGAAACTTATTACAAAGCTATTAAAAATCTCTAAAACTAAGTATTGATTTAGCACGACCAATGGAGAACGTCAATAAATCATCTTACTAATATTTAAATTTATTAGGATACTTTTGTATTTTATCTAACATTTACTTCAACACATATATTCGATTAAGCTATTTATTTAATAAGTAACACTTATAAAACATTTCTAAAACATACATGGCGAAATACAATTTTTTTTTTTTTTTGCGAAATACAAATATTTGTATGATCACACTTATAAAACATTTTTAAATCCTTCAAACATTTCTAAAATATATCGCTCCAAATACAAAATTTTATTTTTTTCAAATATAAACATTTCTAAGATCTACAGATAGACTGGGCCAGGGTCGCGCATTGCGCGACCAGACATCACTAGTATATATATATATATATATCCATATCCTTTTTGGACACGGTTTATTAGGGTTTAGAAACCGGGGAAATTCCCAATCTCTATAATCCCTCTATCGCTCTCTGTACGTAGTTGTTCTTCTTCAGATATCCGACCTTCTTTGCGGCGGTGCGGAAGAACCTCCTCTGACGTTTTGTTTTTAATTTGTTTTTCCAATCTAATTCATAGCCTTACAGGGTAACTCTTCAAGCAAGCAACAAGATCAGAAAAATCATTGATAATGAGGTATTGATTGATTTTCTATATTTTACGAAAGAGTTTTTACTTGTCTCTGTTATTAGGATTTCTGATCGAGATTTCCGCTGATCTTTAATTGTTAGGTTATATCTGCTGCCAAGATATATAAGATTGTTAAGACAGTTCAGAATAACCTTGTTTTTGATAATTATCTTCCATGTCTATGGAAGCTTTTTGTTGGGCATGAGCGTGTAATTTGTGCGTAATCAAGATTTGTTTTCCGGAGAATCTTTTTCATAGGCCAGAAACTATATTGTCGAGTAATTTGTTTAAATCTACACCTTAATTAATAAGGTATTTTTTTTTGGTCGTAATTTGTGGATTTGTTACTAGCTTTCCGCTCCTACTTTAGTTAAAATCTTCTTCTTCCTTGTGATTATCTTAGTGATTGTAACCATATGTGTTGAATATCAATGCAGTAAGTTAAACAGTGATACCGTTAGGGAGGCTATCACCAAAGTGGTGAGCACTGAGCAATGCTGAAGGCAACTTCACTCAAACCATTGAGCTTCAAATCGGGCTCAAGAACTATGATCCCCAAAGGGATAAGAGGTTTTGTGGTTCCGTAAAGTTGCCCCATATCCCTCGCCCTAGGATGAAGGTTTGCGTGCTCGGTGATGCCCAACACGTGGAAGAAGCGGCGAAAATCGGTCTCGATTCCATGGATATCGAAGGCCTGAAGAGGATGAAAAAGAACAAGAAACTAGTGAAAAAGCTTGCCAAGCGATATCACGCTTTCTTGGCATCCGAAGCAATAATCAGACAGGTTCCTCGTCTCTTGGGTCTGAACAAGGCAGGCACGTATTTTCAATGTTCTTGGTGATTTTAATCTTTTGCTAGTGTGAATTAATAGTGATTTCTCTTTTAGCCTCTTTAGGGTTTTATTATGTTATTTCTATGACATATACCCTTTCCGTCCCAAGAAAATAGTCTACTTATATTGCTTTATGTGTTTTGATGTTATAGGAAAATTTCCTACCTTAGTGACTCATCAGGAATCTTTGGAATCCAAGGTTAGTGAGACAAAATCAACTATCAGATTCCAACTGAAAAAAGTGAATTGCATGGGTGTTGTTGTCAGTAATTGCGCAACAGAGGAACAGGTTATTTACCAGAATGTCCAAACGAGCGTTAACTTCCTTGTCTCGTTGCTAAAAAAGCGGTGGTAGAACGTTGGGTGCTTGTACTTGAAGAGTACAATGGGAAGACCTCAGCGCGTTTATTGATGAATTCGCTTTTTCGACATTTTTTTGGTGGCTTTTTTAATTATTCCGTGGATTTATTTTTGTTTCTTTGAGATTGGTATTGGATGTAAAGTTACATCAACGTTTACACCATCTGTTTTGTTGTTTAATGTTGGAGAATGATTCTGTGGTTTTTTAATTATATCGTTTTATCTTGTTTCTTTAATATTAGTATTGGATGTAACCGGTCTGACGATTCTTCGAACCCTTCATTATAAGGCATGAATCACAGATGACATGAGGAGTCGCCAACTACTGAAAAACTAGTGTCTTGTGATATATGAGTCATAGGAATTCTCGGTTTTTGTTTTCCTCATTTCATTTTCTTGGAATTTACTAACTGATGCCACTTTTAAATCTATACTTCTGTGCTTAGTCTGAGTAGGACTGGAATGATATTTCTCTTTCGCAAAAGGCATAAATCACAGGAAGCATTAACTCAACTTGGCTAACAAGTTCGGTTTGCCCTTTTGGTACTCCTTCCTGACTTTGAAGGTTAAATCCACTTTTAAGAAACAAAACAGAGATCGAGCAGAAATAAGTTATACATAAAGGAGATCGCCTTCATGTTACACCTTGTAACACCTTCTGGGTCAAGAAAATAGTGACCGTTGAGGGAGTACATGGGGTCATGGAGCCAACTAGCTCAGAATCCGCGCTCTTTTCAACTCATCAGCTAACAATGGTAGACAGTTGTTGACACCTCTAAAATAAATATTAACCTACTTAAAACTATTTGCTAGAAGCAAGTAAGGTCGATCCACAGAGATGGCAGTAAATCAATAAAATCTTATTAATATGCAAATTATTCACATAATTCATTTTAGTCATTGTTCATTTATATTAACACCGTAAGCAGTTCTATCATTCTAATCT